AGAAAATATGAAAAAATCTTAATTTTAAACCAATCAGTAAAAAAATTATGAAATTATGATAAAATTTAAAACAAAAAACTTTCATAGTTAAAATATGAAATTCTTTTGAAATTTATATTAAAATTAAAAAAATTAGATTATATCTATCAAGCTTAAATAAATATTTTATATTATTAAATTAATTCTAAATATTAAGATTATGTAATTATATATGATATTTTATACATAAGAATTATTGATGTATATGATAAAGATTAAATAAATATTCAATTTTCTATGAATAAAATAGAATTGAAAAGATTTTTGAACATTTAATTGATTTAGATAAAATTATTTATTTATAACAAATTATAAAATAGTAATAAATATTATACCTCTACAATTTGATAAGTACAAAAAATAATTAAATCCACTAAGAAATAAATAATTTGGAATGTGTAGTTTTAAATTTCATCAAATGTGAGTAGTTTTATGATTGTCTCAAAGGTTAAGTCATGTGCGTATCGCACACAAATCAAAATCGTCAGCGGTTCATGCGGTATTCACCAAGGTTAAGCCATGCATTTCTTGCTTCTCGTCCGCGTACTTGAGTTCTGACGCGATGTTTGAAATCTTGCAACTTGTTAATGTGGTATTCATCAAGATTAAGCCATGCATCAAACTTAAACCTAACAGCTATGTGGAACCCGTAAATAAGATATACACAAAATATACTAAATCATCAAAAGTCAAAAGTCTACACTTGGGTTTTTTTGAGTGATTTTGACATCCCTAGTAAAGTGCTTTTAAGAGTTTTTTTAAACTCTTTTGAGTCTAGAAATAAATATATCCATTACTTATTAATATCAAAAAAATAGATTTTATAGATATCTCTAAATTTAAATTTTAATAATAAATAAAGATAAATTGAAACAAAATATTAAACTTATTCAATTCAAGTATAAAATATGTATTCCAAAAATATTTAACAATTCTAAATAAAGCAATTAATTCCTAGAAATGAATACCAAAAAAAAATGAATTTTTTTATGCAATTAAAACTTTTTTTTTAATATAGTTTTTCCCCATTACTTTCGACTTGTACATTACTATACTAGTTGTTGGGAATACGATGTAGAGATTATTACTTTCCTAGTACTTAGATGGTTAACACCATGGGATGCAACTAGAGTTGGAGGCACGAAGATTTTTCCGGAGGCATGACCATTGTGACTTTCAAGCTCTAAAGTCATGCCCCATGCCTCTTGGGCATACCTGTATGTATATACAAAAAATTATACATACCTCTATTTTTGAATTTACACATATAAAAAAGCTCCAGATTGGAACTATCGAGTCGTACACTTTGATTGCAACCTTATCTTGACACCCTGAACTTATAACGATATGAAGTAAACGATGACAATCAGTAACTATATGAATTTTGCGAGCAGTGCATTTTGAGCATCAGCCAAAGTGAAAAGATAAGGACAAGCCGACGACCATTGGTCTCCTCAAACAAGACGCGTGATGAGGGGAACAAGAGAAGTAGACTTTTTTTTTTAGAAAGTGTCACTTGAAACATTTTTTTAGAGTGACACGTAAAATCATTTCAATGTTGACACATAACACGGTTGGTAATAGTATTCACGTATGAATCGTAATCTCAAATACGCATTTAATTAATACGTACAGGCATGCCCGTATACATTAATGTGATCGGAACATGCCCATGGGCATGCCCCCATGCCCTCGCCCCAAGGCATGCCTCTTGAGGGTGTGACTCCAACTCTAGATGTAACACTTTATATATGTGTGTTCCATGACAAAAGTGTATCCCACTTTCAAGGGCATATCCCTCCGCAGAGGTGCGAAATAAAATTTTGGCAGTTTGAACGCACGAAACCTCGTTCGAAGAGTTAGACAATCATATTTATCAACACAATTGTGTTGATAAATAAAATTGTTCAACATTGTTTTTATTTATAAATTTCTTTATTTGTTAAACATTTTTTAATTTTAAATTGATAATTAAAAATAATCAACTCAAATGAATTAATTTAGTTTATAAATTTACAAAAAGATAGTTTACAGTTTATTTTTTGAACAAAATTTTTGAAAAGGTTTTTTATTGTTCTAGAAAATGAATGAAAAAATTTAATTAAAATTTTCAAAAAAATTTCAAGAGAAATATATATTTATCAACAATACTGAATAGGAGAACAATAATCCTAGAACAAATCCTTGTAAATTTTTACTTGTCTCTATTCAGATTTATTGTAAGATAAGTCAAGATAAATGTAATACACAAATGTTATTTTTTCTCCAAAAACATTAATGAGAAACAATTTCTAACTGAAAGTATTTAAATAAAATATCATTAATTTTGGAAAAATTATAACAATTCAGTTTGATTTTCAAAAAATTAAACTTTTTCAAAAAATGTAATTTCAAAAATTTTTTAATTATAAAACCAATTAAATAAAAGTTTATTTTTCTATATTTGAAAATTCAGTTCAATTTTTATAAAATTCAAAGTATTGTTAACGTTTTTTCTTTCTTTGATTTTAAAATTAATTTTTTTTCTATTTATCATTTACAATTAAAATTTTCTATCTTATCATATGAAAGATCAATTTATCCTTAATAAATTTACCAATAATTTTCTTAAACCTATTTTTTAATTTATGAAAAAATTAAAAAGGTTTTAATTTTTTAAACTAACAAAAATTGAGACATAACTATTTATAGAAAAAATTAAACTAAGAAAATAATAAGTGTGGGAAAAAATATGAAAATTTTATTCAATTCTAATTATGAATAAAAAATTATTTTTTATTAAATTTCATTTGGAAACTTTATTGAATACTAAATTCTATAACATGATAACCTTAATTTTCTATAAATTCAAAATGCTTTAGTAAAAATTTACAGAATTCAAAAGAAAGAATAATTTTTTGTTCTGAAAATAAATTTCACTTTTATGGAATTTTTTTTGTCAATAAATTTTTTCTTATTATTTTATTTTTCATTTTAATATTATTTTGTCTATAATTTTTTTTTTAAGAAATATATATTTATTTAGAACTTAATTATTTAACAAAAAAACAAGCGAGTCTAGGACGAAGCAGATCATCAAAACGTATTGCGGCGCAGCAGCAACCAATTTGAGTTTTTCCGTGAAAGGTTTGCAGCACCGCAGGGCGTGTGGGAGAGAGAAAGGGGGGCGAGATGTACCGACGTCCGACGGATTTTTTCGGAGTCCGTCGCTTCTTCGACATTGGATCACGAGTGTTGTTGTTGATGACAGTCTTGATGCATACTATGCGTCGGCTGTCGGCTGTGCGCGATGATTTGATGTCGTGATGGAGGGAAACAAAACATCGGGCCCGCCTTCCAGAGTGCACGTATGGGTTTATCGTTGATAGTCTCGGTTGTTACATTTTTTGATTTGTTATATCTATTTCTGAAAATTGTAATATTAAGTTTTTTTAAATTAAAGGTTAAAAAAAAAATTAATTTTTACTTTGTAAATACATTGTTTTCAAAATATTTTTTAATTAAAAAATACTATTGGTATTAATCTAAAAGAAAGAAATGCTATCAATGAATGAAAGAAATTTAATACAAAATTATAACAATTAAATTAATTATACAATTTTCATTATTTATTATTTCTAATATTTATTCTTTGCTTCCTTCTTATATAATATATTGATGAAAAAATTATAAATATCCATGTAAAACTTCACCATTATTTTTTTTTTGTTAGGATGTTGACCATAATCACTTTCAATTGTGATAAGGTTTCTTATGTTACTGTTTTGTTTGGGGAGTAGACCTTTTTATTTTCTGAGTTAAATACTGTGTCAACTATTCTCATACGATAGCCTAAAGCCGTGTGTGATGAGGAAGAAATACATATATAATATTATTAGTCTGATGAGATTTGTATATGAAAATATCAATCATATCAAATAAATTCGAATGGCAATTTTGAATAAAATCATTATCTCTCGGAGTGACAAGTATGTCATATATTTTTTTGCCTTTTAAAGATTAGATTTTCTTGTGCATTTTGGAATCTGAAGTTTAGTTTAATTTGGGACTCTGTATTGTTTCATCATTTTATCCTCATTCAATCCAAAGTCATCTTGATCCATCATATCAACAGCTTTGGAGATTCTCATTACAATTATATGATAAGCTAACATTGTTTGCTTGTATTCACAATATGCTGCTTAAAATTCCCGAATTTTTCACTGTAATCACTTTTGTCTCTCTACCTTATGCTTTTACCCACGATATTACGATGCTATAAAATTCAACATTTGTAAATGGCTTGTGCGGAATATGGCGTAAAGTATGTGATATTTTGTTAAAAAATACACTAGTTGTTGCATGCAGATATGTGTTTTATTTTTATACTCATAAAACACATATCATTCTGTATCATTTTGCTATATTTTGTCCACAATATTATGGAATAAAAGATATATGACTGTTTTTTATGTATATCGTTCCACGAATAGGTCAGATATGATACCATATGTGTTTTGGAGTGTTGATGTCCACAAATATTGTAAGATCTTTAAGTATTTTATTTATAGGTGCACTAATTTGACCGTAATCGATAGTTTCTATTCTCCCCCTGTCCATGCGAAAGTTTTTGTAGAAGGTCTAATAGTTGATTGATACCTTGATTCAAAATTCTCAACATGAGTGGTTTTAAGGCGTTCATACAATGAAGATTCCAGTAAGAAGATGCACTTGTTTTATGTAATGGTTCTTGGTCCGAACCAATACTTCATCAGCTGTGCTCCCACAATGGTGCAGATGCATAATTATGACAATATCACCATTTTAAGAAACTGGTCACATCAACGACCTACAACAGTTTAAACTTTTTTTTTTAAATCTTGGAATCCTTGCATCGAACTTCACCAACCACAGTGAGAATCGCCAACCAACGATAGTACAAGACAGCAGACAAGCAAGTGTTAAAATGGAAACTGTTGTATGGGATAGACTGAAGGTGATGCCACATCAAAAATAGCTCGGGCATCAACCGTATTATATTTGTTGAAAGCACACTTTGACAGCCCTGAAGCTTCACCTGGATCACAGCATGTAATAGAGGTCAAGAACTATGCCTTCTCACACTATGAATCCATCTGTCTTCTTCCCCTATGTAAAGCGGAAAGAAGGTATCCTAAGAAGCTTGCAAAAACCCGTCTCGAGCATTGCACCATAGTAGAATAGAATCCGTGTGCTTCAAAACATGAAGCGTAAGCTGCCTTCCTGATTTAGAAACCGAGAGACTTGACGATTTTCACGGTGCTAGTCTCTCGATACTCCAAGTCTTATTTTCTCCTCCTCTGCTGGTCAAAGTGTACCTCAACCTGTACACATTCATGAAAAAATATCAAGACAAGTCATTTGTGAAAACGAGTAGCTGTATTCACTCCACGCACGAGGACCGGGCCTTAATCTTACCTGTCATGAAGCCTTGATTCTCGTCCCTGCCAAAATTCTATTCTCACTGGATGGAGTCTGTATCCACCCCAGTAATCAGGCTTCGGTATGACAGCCCTGCGATGCCAAATAAGAGGAGTTCAGACTCCTTCGTCAGTTTCTAATAAGGTGAAACGAAAACTGTTACCGTAGCTTTGAATCAAAATGATTGAAATCTATTGCAATAATAGGACATGTCGGTTACAAATTAATACCCCGGAAGATTTACAAACTCGTCAATTAGGCAACATAGCTCAAGCATCATCTTATAGCAATATTATCCAGGTACATACCCATCAGCATACTTGTCTACCAAATCCTTGTAGCATTGATCGAGGACATGGCGTCCTTCAATAACAGAGCTCTACATATACAGACATCAGAACAAAGAGTTAATGACAGCAATACAATCAGCGAAACCTAGTGTTCTGAAGACGGGGTTTCGCTGAAGTAGTCATTCGCGTCGAGGTAGAAAGGAAAGTTGCAAATATAGTGTGGCGGAAAGTGATGAGACTACGTTCCACTACAAAACATAGTAAGCAAATAAATGCATCCTAATTGAAACTCTCAATCGGGTAGCGTGGCTAGCAAAACTAAGTTCTAGACACGGAACACACAACTAGTAGAAGAATCGTCCTCAGTCATCTAAACAGCTGAGAGCTTATGATTTGGAGCAAGTTGTCACTATGCATGCTATCACAAACGTACTGAGAACCGTTGATCTTAATCATAAATCTTGGCCATCAGCTAGTTACAACCTGAGAGCTGACCATGGCACCGATTTGGCTCCCTCTTGGCCGGCTATGGAAGTAATTATCAGACTCCTCCTCAGGAACTTTCTCAACAGGGCCTTCTATACGGACCTGTAACCAAGAACGAAGAAACGTTAGAAACTTCCGCTGTATTGGTCGGACCAACGTTAGATTATCTGATTCAACCCATGATATGATCAATCCAGGCTTTCACTATGACTGAGTAAGTTGCTCTGCATCTAAAGTCTGTTCCATGCCTAACAAAAAAAAAAGCAGCAAAACTTTTATGAACTATTCACATTCCATGTGACGAGCTGCTTTCGTTCCGAACTGAAACTGAATCGAGCTCTCGTGACCAGACTTGTAAATCACCTGAGCGTCTAAGATACATCAAGTCAATGGAGATAATGAGAAAAGGCAAAGGATACGGGAAGATAGTTTTGTACCGAGCGATTGAATTTGTCCCAGAAAAAAACCAGGGCAGCTCGAGGGTTATCAGAAAGTTCACCAGCTTTTCGACTTCCATAGTTTGTGTACCTGTTTTGTAAGGAAATGACAGTGGAGATGATGTAAAGAGAAACTTTCCTTGATGAAGAACATTCAGATCGCCGGGCCACATTTGGCAGCTATCCGGTTTTTCTTTCTTCATTTTGCTTTTTAAAAACAGAAGAGACAGAAACACGAAAGTGGCAAGTTTTTTAGCTGCTCCACAGAACAAATACTGATACATGTGTTATATACTTGACACTAAACTAGGCTGTTTGATACAGCAAAAAGTTCGAGAAAACAGCTCACCATACAAATCCACGCTCATCATAGCCCTTTAGAAGCACCATTCGCGCTGACCTGAACAATATGCAGAATCAATAAGTACATTACTGATATGAACTTTAGTACATACTGTGTGCGACAGATACTACGAATTATTGGTAGTTCAAGAAACTATTCAAGACTATTTGGTAAGAAAGCGTAATACTCTGCAAAGAGGCATGACATTCCAATCCAAATCTCGTTTAAGAAAATAAATAAATAAATAAAAAGAAAAATACAACAATTTCCAAACACGTGCCATTCTTCTAGAAGTTGCTTGTCATGACTATTGAAACTTACGGGTTGCCCTCAGCATCTGCTGTCGCTAAGGTCATGGCATTAGGTTCATGCACTCCAGCTGACACAGCATCTTCAAACCAGACTTGGAACTGCCACATAGATCGGTGTTGCAATCATGAGAATCTATCGCAGTTACAGGACTACAGGGAAGGAAGCTCCTATAACAAAACTTACGATTGCGGCAGAATTCAGATGACGACTATCACGGCCCATCAGATGAGACACAAGGATATAAAGTTTTACCTGTTTGATGGGATCAAGAATGGCTTGTTCCTCTAAGAGCACTGCTCCGACGTAATTTTCCCGAAGGGCTGCCACATCTATTGACGTTTGTTTACCAATACGGACGCACATCGACGATCCTGTATATGCTGGTAGCTGTAATCCATACTTCTCAACGACGGCTGGAGGCACAAATCTACCCCCAAGAAAATGATGAGCTCCTCGGAAATGTTTGGCACATTTCTTGGGTGCTGTGAGCGAAACCTATGGAACAAAACAGAAGGACAACTGAGTCAAGTCTCGTTACACTTATGACACACCATATGATGTGAAAACTGGACGAACAGCATTTGCAACATAAAAAGCATTTGACGAGGAAGAACTGGACATTATACACAGCAAGGGGGGAGTACACGTACTCGGTCCGTACGATAGGGGCTATGATAAAAAATTTAAAGCGTCATGAGACAACGAAATGATTATTATGGGCAGAAGGCAAACGTTATGAACATTGAAAATTTCACAATGACGCAGCGTACACACATCAAAGCAGCAGCTGGAGCAAAACAAAGCTGAAGGTATTGAATTTGTATCTTAACGAAATGCACCAGCATAAGCAAACAATAAATTTCTAGGAAGAAATTCGACAAATTCTAGCCACGAAAGAAGAACATTTCTTAACTTTTATGGAATCAATCAGGTAAGCAGAAAGAGGTGTGATGAAGAAGATTCAATTGGTGCTCGAAAGAGGTCTAGCTCAGAATAAGGGCTTAGGAAATGAGCGTGCATCGACTTGGCCTATCTATCCGACTTCATCAGCTCTCTTGAGGAAATAAAAGATTACCACAGGAGCAAGAGTACATCGATAGAGGGTTAGCGCTCTAGACTGATGACAACTTAGTTGCACAACGGCTATAGAAAACTACTTCTTCCTCAGTTGAGAATTAGTTTAAAATTAACATCGTACATAACAAATCATGGAAGCTTGTTACGAAACATTCAGCAAACAAATAAATCAATAAACTAACCACAATTGACCCAGTTGAAATGCCTATGGGAAGTGAAACCGTACGTTCAAGCAGACTGCAGATAGCTCCCTACTTACCGAGTTGGAGAATGTAAGTCATTGACATTGTTGCTTAAGAAGTCTATAAGTAATCTAAGCTGGACAGCCATAGCGTTCACGTTTTGTTTCATGATAGCTTCGTAGGGTAGCTTCCATTATGTCTAAAAGATGAAAACAAATGAATGACATTCTGTACGAAAGCTAGTTGACTTGAGCAATCTATAAATAATTATTCTAATCGGCTAGTCATTACCCCGTGTTTCACCACCTCTCATCTGAATTTAATACTTGCCAGTCTACTGGTCAAAATATGTGTTCGTTGAGGTTCACATCTCTTGTGAATTACCGTTACCTCGAGGCCGATACTGATCTGTGTGGTTGACAACTCTAAGAGACTGCAGACTGAACCAGATGGTGAGAGGCTAAGTTTCTCTTACCAATCAGCTGGGTAGATACCTCATCGAATCGCCTCGTCAGATGGGTAGTGTAACGGAGCGAAAGTACTTGATTTGGCTACTCAAAGACCATCCACAAATCGACATATTATCCAAAAGAGTAAGCTGTACTTGGAGAGCATTAAAGAAATTAGCATTAAAATAACAGTCACGCGTAGTAAACTAGGAGTAAGTCTAATCCTCCAATTAGATCGGTAAATACGTAGTAATGGAGAGATAAAAGGTTGGTTGGTCTTTGTAAAATCAGCTAGACATCTTTGAAAGGATAAATAGATGGGTAGATAAATATGATGTGCGATGGCGGGTTTTCAGATCAGCTAAAGCGATCCTAGTGTATAATATGGTGTACTCGAAACTAAGACAGGATATGGTCAGATGTTTCTGGTTGTAGACATGTTCAGTCTATGTGTGATGTAAATGAACGAGAAGCAAGCTTATAGAATTCACGAACCTAAGTCTATCCAGAAACGGAAGGAGTCTAGAATTCTCCCCTCCTTCCACTGAAGGTTTGTGTCTGCCATGAGTGCTTTTGAAAGAGTTACACATTTAGATAGCATTGTGAGTGATGATCATGCACCTGTAGATAGAATTCTACGCTTCGGAACGCATTTGAGACGCGGAAGTATTTCAAAGAGATGCAAACGTAAAAGGTATTACAAAGCTATTGAAACATCAAAATGAGATGATTGTCGTTAAAGGGTTGGAGTGGATGAGTTAGCAGCTATGAAAAATGTAACAGAGGCAAACGTCAGCTCAGCTAAGATCTCAGAACAGCAGAGATTTTCACATGCAAATATGAAATAGCTAGAAAATATTATGAAAAGGTGTCATGTAAATGTTAGCAGGGCTCTTTTATCAGAATGGTAGAGTGAAAACTTTAGGTCTGCAGAAACGCGGGGAGACTTCACAATGGCTCGTTGAGCTTGAAATTTACCAAGAATAGCATGTTCTAATGGATCTAGACTCCTTGATGTACCTACAATAAGTTCAGTAGTCGGTACAAATAGATTCACTGAGGTTCTTCTAATAGATTTTGGAGGCTGTATCGATAGACCATCTTGTACTCAGAACTTGGTACCCATCGAGATATGTATATAAGGGAGACCAAGTCAGAGAACTCAGCACGGACCTTAGAAGCAGTTTCCTTAGCTGCAGACACCAAGTGTCAATACCGACCCAGAAGGCGAGGCGCGGGTTGGTAGGAACAAATGCGAAATTGAGACCGACGACGTAAACGCACGAAAGTGAACCCTAAATTGATTGAATCCACACAGTAGACGAGCGGCAGCAATCTTAAATGGAGCAGGAGGAACAAATTTCAGCAGATCAGCAATTGGGTCAACAGACAGATCGGATTAAAAGTCAAAAGTACCCAGACGGTGCAAGGAAAGAAAGTGTTCATATAAATCTAAACGATACATATGTACAGTCTTACCAGCATGTCTGGCATCAGTCCAGTTTCCTCGGTATCACCTTCCTCCACATGCCAACCTGAGGGAATATCTATGGACACTACAAAGGGCACACCAGCATCTTCCGCTCCAGAGTCATTCGATACTTGAAGTCGCTGCAGAAGGGTATCAAATGGAGGACGCGGCTTGCCTGCCATCCAGGTCCCAAAAGAACTTTACTTTTAGATAACTACGACCGTGAGGATAAAGGAAACGATCAGACGACTTTGTGGTGTAGAAAGTTCGTACCTTTGAAGGAGAAACCAAACATAGCATCAACGACGATATCGAAGTCATCCTTCAGGTGATGAGGTAAGTCTGCCTCAGATAAGAATGGTACCGAGAGACTTTCCAGCTGTGAGAAATCACCAAAAAAGTTCTTTCTCGTTACTGCTGGTGAAAAATCTCAGTAAGTATGGATGGAAATATTAAAACTACAACACGCTGACGCTGTCATCAACACACAAATATCTAAGGAAAGGTGTGAGCCGCATATTTAAGTCTTCCAGCAGACTGAATTTCAGATGAATGTGATAACAAACCTGCGTTACGAGCCCATGATACAAAGGTTTGTCTGTACGCTTGGGGTAGACAATCGAAGGTTTATACCCAAAGTGATGAAGATGGCGTGCAGCAACGAGTCCATCACCGCCGTTGTTTCCCGGTCCACAAATGACGAGAATACGAGGATGTTCGTTTACTCCATACACCTGTAAAGACCGAAGTGTGAGCTGATAGGAGCAAAATAAATCTGATGCATAAAATAACAGTGCATTCGCTGTTACGTTTTCTTACAAAAGTTCGGTCACGGGAACGTTAATAAGAGTCAGTCTCCTGGACCATCTTTTGTTTCTGGCCCTAGTTTTCAAAAGCAACAAGGACGAGGAGAAAGTATGTTCCGGTCCATCGTTTTGGTGCTTTCAAAATTATGTATCTCTTGAAAGAAACAAATCCAGTGAGCTAAGGGCAACCGATCTGATCACGAAGGCATATGTTTACCTCCAGTAGACTGAAACAATGATACACAGACTACAGTTCAAGAACCTTAGCCACAACATTTCCTGAGTAGGACCATTGTGAAGTGACACATGTCTGGATGAGTCGCTTACCTCTGCGATAGCGCTCGCCACACTCAATCCCGCAAGTTCCTACGACAGCATAATACCCAGTAAGTAACCCTGTAAGAAATCACCCTTTTAATGCCTTTCTCAATGATTGGTGCTATCAGAGGACTCCCGTGTAAGATAAACTTAATTACTTCTGGATTCACCAGGTTATGAACAATCCATTTGCTTGCAATCTGATCCATTCAATCTGTTCCGAGATCAAGTAGAATATGACCATGGGAAAAACTATTGGATTTAGTCAGTTACAGCCTTCAAGATATATTTAGGCAATAAAAAAGCTCACACTAATGCATTGTCATCCATACTACTGAACAGATAGTTCTGGGAACTGGAAGCACCATTAGCTGGTCAACACTGAACCCCAAAGGCCCCATGAGGAGCTCATCGATGGCCGCTGCATCCGCTTGTGAAAGGTATGAAATACTATCGGGCTCTTTCGAGTGCTTTGAAATCTCCGTCATAGTATGTCCCGCAGCTCGCGTTTGCAGATGTCTGTGAGAAAGTTGATTGCTTGAAATGGTGGTATATTGACGACAGGATCTGAAAGAATGAAGCTGACGGCTATTCTTTTCTTCAACAGATTTTATCCAGCATGCAGCTGCCACTTTTTTAACAGACGGACTGTGCTGCTCATACCACAACAGCGCATGTGATGTTAATTCAAGAATAAATAAGTTTGCAAAGCCCAACAGCTAGAAGCTCACCTTTATTGCACGTCGATTGTGATGCGCAATTTTTAGTAACTTGCGTCACCAACATAAATCAAGTTTTCTATGACTGATAGTTCATAATTGGCTAGTCACTTGTAGAATGAATGTCGTGACACTATGGAGTGGGCACGGAGGTAAATGAAACTTGCGCCAACAAGAAGCTGAAAGCGAGTGCTGACTAAAGAGGTCTGACGTGCAAGCGCAAAATGAACGACTGTGGAAATTATGATTACTACAGAAATCGTTGACACTCAGAGCCAGGACATCTCATTTTACTCCAAATTTTCCGACAGCAGCGATGCACCCACCTGATTTGGTAGCTGATGGCATGTAACGCTGAGCGGAGCCGAGGACCACTGTGAAACAGTGGAGGTGGTGCACTGCATTCTTCTACTTCTCAAAGACCATAGCTCGGAGCTGCAAGCTGGTCATCAGTCAGGTCAGATACAGCACTTGTGTAGGAACATCAGGGGCTAAAAAACATCCAGAATTGTGCTCTTGAACGGTTCAATCTCATACTGAAGGTGGCCGAAAGATTACAAGCGCGACCCACCAAATGGAATTCAGCAATCTACTCCGATAGAGCTTAGCATAAAAAATATGCTAAGAGCACTCCACTCCTTTCATAAGAATTCGCACGATTCTTAAGCGTCAGACTGTTGTGTCAGAACTGATTCACGAAGAATAAGTTGGCACAGCAGAAACGCCATAATGCGCTATAAAATCGACAGGTATATGGTGTCTTTCTTTTCAAACCAAAGACATCAAAAGAAACCTCAAAATTTCATCCATCACCTGGATGAAAGTTTTGGTTCTGCATTGACTGATGCTAAAAACCTTCCATTCAGTCCCTCGCATCGAAAAATGATTGCCAATTACGGAGCAGGAAGAGCTAACTACAAAACTAGACTCGTAAATAAAGTATCCGTCATTCCAAAGTGCGCAAGGAATTTCTACAATTCACATGTCAATCGATAATAAAACTGAGCAAGCACGAGGAGAGAAATACGAGATCGGAGAGCGTCCTACGTAGGAAAGAGAAGATCTCAGCTAAAAGGTGACAAATTCAGAAAGAATCAGGTGGTGCGCGGGTGATAATTGCATTTGAGCCGGAAGAGCTGGAAGGAAAATCCGACCCGGCTGATCGGCGAATTGAGAAGGTATTGGGAATGGAGCTCACCGTGAGACAGACTTTCGAGGATCAGAGAAAGAGAGAAGGCGCGTACAAAGCGATGCGAAGAGCAGAGATGATGGGCGTCCTCGAGCCACGAGCACCATTCTGCGCGCACTGTCGACGATGCTTCGAACTGACCGCTCCTCCCGCTGCTGCTGGCGCTGGCGCTCCTGATGGCGCTGCGCTGCGCTGACGTGGAAGAAGAGAGGCCAGCGTCTCTATTCTCGCGTCGCTCCATTTGCAGCCAATCGCGCAGAGAGACGCTGCGCCTGTCACCCGTCCTTCATCGTCAGTTCCTCGCTCGCCCGATCACCGCCATATCTGGCAGCGGACGATTCATTCGCGTTTGCACATTTTACATTCTTTCCAATTTTATTACAATAAGGATCAATGTGGTTTACAATATTTGACCAATTCACTTCTTATTGAAAATACATTTACTAGAATTAAATTTCATCACGTTACAATTACATCTATTAGCAATTTCTTTGGGTTGTTGTGGAGCATTACAATGTTTTATTGGATGTATTTCTCTGCCACCTCCTTAGTAAAGTCTTCCTGCTCGGAAGCTTGATCTCCAATCGAGGACACACAATCTTGTAATGTTTTATGTTAAACAAAGATTTTACTTTAATTTTTTATTTACCAGTGTTTTGAGTAGCATGGAGGTTTTACACTAGAGCACGGATTTTGATTATGTGTTGTTGTGTTTTATTGATCTCGTTTACCTTCTGCCATCTTGAGGTTGCCAACTTGCCAAGTCTATCTTCATGAGAACACCCAATTTACAGTTATTTCTTCAAGATGTATGAGAAACAAGACCATGGGTTATCATGTAACGAGATTGCATTGAATGCAGAATTGAGAGCATCTTTGAGTATACTATTCGCTGCCAACAAATTTTCGAGCTGAATTTGAGGTACACAGGAAAGTGGATTCAGAACGGCGGAATCAACTTCGAAGATTTAGGCTTAAGATAAGTTAGCCTCTTTTACTCCTCTTTTCCGCTCTTTAGTTGCTACTTTACAATAAACAACAAAGAAGTTTACAAATGCGAGACAAGAAGCGAAAATTGTGATTGAAAGGTGTTGGCGTTGAGAAGATAATACAGAACCCATCAATAACTACATTAAAGAAGTTACATAATCGTATCAGACTCCAATTATAGAGAGTCGCCTGTTTGTTAGTCTACTATCTGAGATTTTACAAAAGTCATCTAGTTTGATTTGTTGATTGATATGTTAACGAGGAATACCTAGCGAAAGTAAGTAAGTATCAAATGCAGAATCCATAGAGACACATACACAAAAAGATCCTACAGACGAGACATGTGTTTCATTTATTTTGGAGTCTCCGTCATCAAAGATGGATTTTGAAAGATAAACAAAGATTATCTAAGGTCATGTTTTCTAGTCTTGTGGTCAAGTTTTACCACAAAGAAATTTTTTCACATAGAATTCTCATTTGACCTTGGAATATTACACTGAATTATCTGTAATTCTGCCATAATCCATAACTTTCATCATGCAAAATGAGAACTTGAAAAGTGTTTGAAAAATAACAGTCATTTATTTTACTCTATCTTGGATCGTTAAGAAATGGATAAAAGTTGCGCATTTGAAGGTTTTAGATCATTGTTGTGAACAATGACGAGATTGATTCACAAAATTACATTGCAGGATATGTCTGCTCTTCGTACTGGTATGATACACTCTGGTGCAGCTTTGCAGGCACATTGATCCAACACTGAAATTCTTCCATGGTTCAGGTAAGCACTCTCGCATGTTTTGAAAACTGCTCTCAATTGAAATCACTGAGTCGCTATTCCCAGATTAGAAATCCCTGAAGCCATATCTGACTGATCGAAAAAATAAAAGAAAAAAATCGATCAAAAGTTCCGACTCTCCGGAAAACGTGAAAGTATGATCTCACGAACGACTGTTTCTCGAGGAGGGCTCGGAACAACATGTATCCGAAGCAGAATCGGATGCACACATGGTTTCGACAGACTGCTCTGAACTCGAATGCCGGTGATGTTCCTGCAGAGCGAGTGACAGGAGGAGTGACAGCAAACGATAACGAATGCGCAACAAAGCGTCCACGTTCGCGACTCTAGAAAACGACGACAAGACGAAGGCAAGGCAAGGCAAGCGCGGATAAAAAGGGCGGAGGACCGGTCACTCGCGGGCCGCCACATTCGGTCCGGTCCCCGCGCTCGAGCGAACGCGAAACAAATGGCGGACGAGAAGCGAAGGGCGGAGGCTCGGATAGATAGACTCCACGCCACCTGGCACGCGCCCACTGGCCGCCCCGGCCGCGTCGCTCTCCTGTGATTAGCCCGCGCTCCATCCCCCGGAAAACTGCCACCAGCGTCACTAATTCCCTTCGTTGCGCTCGCTCCCGGCCCTCCCTCCCCCTTCCGCTCCCCCTCCCACCTCCCGGCGCGGCTCGGCTCGCCTCTGGTCAGCTCAGCTCAGATCAGCTCACAACTGTCCTTCCACCTCCTCGGCAGTTCAGACGAGTCCCTCCCTCCCTCGCAGCGACGAAGGATTCAACGAGAGCCTGAGGAGGAGAATGGGGCCTTCGGCAGTGCTCGCAGTGGCGGAGGGCTTGATGGCCCCCGCGCTGCTGTCCAGCGCCAATTCTCTGCGCGGAGACGCCCTCCGCTCGAGCCGCACCAGCAACGCCGTGCGCGCCAGCGGCAGCGTCGTGGTCAGAGCTGCGACCGAGAGCGGTGGCGGCACTCGCATCGTCGGCGGAAGGAAGGTATGTCGTTTCGCAATTTTGTCACTAGGGATGCTCAGCTGTGCCGTCGTTCGTCGAATTTGGCAGTAGTGGGATGCTCTTGAGTGCCAGTGGGGAAGTAATTGCTCCTCATCCAAGCGCCTGTGATAAGATGCAAGTCGTTGTCGATTTTGGTCAATACGATTCGCCCCTGGATATGGCGTTCGAGCGGAGGTGATCTGTGCTTCCCTCTCGTCTCGTATTGTCCTTGTAAAGATGCTTAGTCTGAGTCGGCCCGGCTGGGCGGGTCTGGTAGTGGGAGCAAGAAATGCCAACCTCGACTGCATTACGTCCGTCATATCCCTTCTCTCGATTTCACTACAAACTGAGCAATTTCTGCAATTCCCGGAGCCTGTCAGAAAGAGAGGCCACAATTCAGACTGTGCTGAGAGCCGTACATTCCTAAGTACAAGGCCTCCACTCGTCTATTCTGAGCTCTCCCCGCAGCGGCCAATCCCGGTAGTCTCGACGATATCTCCTTCTCGAGCTGTGGCTATTTGTCCAGCAGGGGATTTCTGCCGGTGGGGAAAACAACTTCAATTTCCAGTCGTGTGCAATTTCGTGTAGATGGGACTGCAATGCAGTGCTTGTTAACCCACTTCAAAGCCGGGTCCGATTCCGGCGTCGGTTGTGATCTCTTAATGGTGTTGGAGCTCGACAATGTCCGAGCTCGGGAGTGGCTTACTGCACAGCACGTACTTCCAGTGGGGCGTAGAAGCTCGTGAAAGCTAGCGGGCGTTTGTAGCCATCGCTCCACGGAAGAAACATCTTCGCGTGTTTAATCTTTGTGGACCCATCCGAGGTGGACGATTGGCTGTGGAGGAATTCGCGTTAGAAGCGTATCTCTCGGGATGTCATTCTCCAGCCCAGTCTGTGGTGTTTGTGTGGGGCTCTCACTCTCTCGTTGTCCGTCCAGTGAATTGTTTCTTGCGCTCCAGTCTGTTGGCTGGTCACTGACTCTGCCATTGGAATTGCGCGAAGGTGAAAGTCGTGCAAGTCGGCGACAAGTCGGCCGCGATCCGTGACAAGTCAACGGGAGGCGCAGCCATCAAACTGCTGTCGAGAGTGGAGCAATTGAAGCTGTTGTCCAAGGCGGAGAAAGCCGGTTTGTTGTCGGCCGCCGAGAACGCAGGATTCTCGCTTTCATCGATCGAGAAGTTGGGCCTTCTCTCCAAAGCCGAGGAGTTTGGAGCTCTGTCTGCAGCCACCGACCGCAACACCCCCGGAGCTCTCCTGACCTTGGCATTGGCCTTGCTCATCGCAGGCCCCGTCTTCGTGTACTTCGTTCCCGAGGACTCCACGCCTTTGGTAATTTTACAGGTTCTGGTTGCATCGATATCAGTTCTGGGAGGCTCGGCCGCATTCGCTGCTTCCAATTTCGTTTCTGAGTTGCAAAAATCCGATTAGCTTGCTGCTCTTCTGTACTAGTAAAAGATTTACGATTCAAAATATTTCAATAAAATTCAACGCTTCTGTACCACATGCTTACAAGTGGCCCCATCCTATAATTCTGGGCTCCGACAATAACGCCCCGCCGAATTATCAGTACAGTATATCGTGCATTTGTCAATATTGCTTACTATGATCATCGCCTGCACCCTCCAGTATCACCTCTGTCGAGGGAGAAGAAATGAAGGAGTCGGGGCTGACAATTGTTATCTGTGAATCAAATCTGCGTTTTGAAACTTGCGTATTTCTGCCTACTTTCGCAACACTCGCTGTCACTGTGCACATCGGACAATTAGCTAACACTCATTCGTCCAATGTGCTATCGCTATCTCATTCTGAACATCATATAACTTCGAATTGCGAAGGACGTACACAGAACTGAACACAGCTTCGTACAGAAAACCATTTCTCCACGGCCACTAAAACTTTTCATACACTCTCAACAATATGAGAGGAAAAAAGATTGAAATTCCAGTACCGGGCTCACACAAAGGAAGAAAAAGGGTTGAGAAGACTGCCATTTTCCTGCCCTACGTGGGGACAATCTGTCCCATTCGAACCGTCTTTGACGAGGCTCAAACGATAAACATTCCTTGAAACACTCTGGCGTGGCCTAAGTGGAATACACTATGTAACAAACATCTTCCTCGTGAAACTAAGAGGGACCGTGTGCTCACTCAGAGAAAATGGGCTACGACTCCTACGGAATACATCGATCCTGTTTTTACACATCTAAGCAAAATTGTTCCAGCTTCCTCGTTGGCTTCCAGTCCACGAACCGACGGGTAGAAGAGCATCCCGTCTTACAGTTGGATACCACAGGGTAGCAGTTTCATGCACACAGTGCAGGACATGCGTTGCATGAGCAAATTCTCATCTGTGAAATCTGCAAAAGCTGTCTACTGCTGTTTGAAGAAGTTCAGCATCTCTTCTTCCATGACGTGAGTGTTGCCGGTGATGATCAGTGAGTGCAGGGGAGCCCCAAAATCGACACTCAGCAATTGCTTCAAGGGGCCAGCCACAATAAGCTGGGTTGGTTGCCCGAGCCTTGCTAGACCTACGGTCATCGTTTCCTCAGTGTACACTGCGCCACGACAACAGGGTTATAAAAAGCATAACAACAAGGCGAGGTGCCATTCTCCGCCCAACGGAAGTAACCATAAACAGGAAGAAGAAGAGAAGAACCAACTACTCATCGTTCAGCTTTGCTTGGAGATTTCTACGCCAGCCAGTAACGAGGGGGATACTCTTTGATAGCGAGTACAGTACATCCAAGCAGGACGTAGTACTCGAGACATATCAAGGATGTGAGGTTCAAAAACAAGGTGACTCATCTACATTTGACACCACAATGTAGCAGCGTCTACCAACTTCAACGTCCAAACCACAGACCACACAGGAGTCAAACTCACCATTTTCTTGCCGGTTCTCTTCGATTTCAAGTAATTGTTCCACAGCTGTATTCACTGACATGTAGCGAGGAGGTTCATATTCTTTCCTACCCCTGCAGAAGAAAAAAAGGCGATATAAAAACAAGCGCCAACTGCATGACGAGTCAAATTTCACCACATACAAAGCTTTTACCTCATCTACTTGGTTAAACATCTGAATGATAATTTTGAGTTCAGACAACGCACAAGTTACCGTACGAGTTTATCCTTGCTTATTCTATAAGTCATGAACAGAAGGCTTGCTACTGGTTTCTACTCGCCAAGAAAAACGCTGAATAATGACAAAGAGTAGCCTTCAAACCAGCCACCCAACCAACTGTTAAGAAAAAAAAGATTCTGCTCATTGGAACCACAATTTCTTCTACTAAAATTCAAATTCTTACCTACACAAAGCTTCGACAGAGGGCTCCTTCACTCGTATGTCTGTAAAATAAGGAAAATCAGAGACGAGTCAGCGATTAGGCAGCAATGCAGTGAGTGAAAAGTGTAACCAGCCAACTAAGGGAACAGGGTGCACTTGGTGAGAGAACAGAAGAAGCGTAAATTTGTCGAACGTGCAGTGTCTACTGTAGATACACCGACCATGACCGAAGTGAGAGGTGGAAAAGTACCAAGAAGGCACAAGGTGTGCAAACCGATGGACCGGTTCGCCTTGATTTTATCGTAGAAACTGTCAGGCCTCCACGTCTCTGTGAAAAAGGGAATCGAAATTGCCTCACCAAACCGGTAGAGTTGCAGGCCACAAGCACCAACTGCATTCATCACTGAAGCATTATGGATTACTTCGACCTTCACCCCCATGGATTTAGCTCGGACCACTAGATCTGAATGAGTTGTCGCCCTGTGGTAAGAAAGGATACAAAGGTGAGCTTGCAAGCTCAAATCTTTCATAGACTGGGAGACAAGTTTGTGCTCCAATTACTAGAGTATTGTAAGAAGGTAGAAACGTCAGCTCACATCCTCGCCAGGAAAGAGCGCACATATATCTAGAACTGGAGAAATTTGAAAAATTAAGAAGTAGCCACGTACAAAAACAAGCGATCGATCTTTAACTAGCACTCTGAGCGCAGTATGGGGCTGTTCTCCAATTCGATTATCCAACCCAATAACTGAATGCCAATGCAATTCCAGAAGAAGAGACAACTCAAAACAACTGGGGCGAGAAAGGACCAGAGCCAGAAGCTGACCCGAAGGGATCTCCGACAACAAGAAAGGCAACGTCACTAGTTTGCGCTTCGTCCAAAATGCGCTCTGCCATCTGCTCCACCATTTCTCGATCAGCTACGATGACCGGGCGTCCATAGAGTTTCTCCTGGAAAGGGCCAAGAGGGTTTGCAATCAGCACACGGTCATGGTTACTATCACGCAGAATCAGATGAACGAAATTCCACCGCACATCCGGGAAATGAATCCCTTCCTTCGCAAATCAAACGAGAGCACGGGAAAGGCACGCAAGCGTGCGAATTGTGAATATCTACGAATCGGACAGACAGAGGCGAGCCGAACTAAATCGATACAGAATGAAGGCAAAGCTGGCTGCCGGTCTTACAAGAGTCGTGGTGGCGGAAGCATCTAATCCCAAAGCTAGAAGAGACGTGTAAGCCTCCAGATAAACTTTCTCGCATTTCTGAACAGCGTCCAAGCCCCTCAAGGTGATGTCCCGCTCGTCGCCTAAGCCTAAACCCACAATATACAGCATTCTCTTCCACTCGACAAAATCCTGAACTCTGCTGCACTGAGAAAAGATCACAATCTGCACATTGCTCGTGCCAAATTGCCCATCGACCTTCAGCTCGCTCGAACTCAGGCCACCGATGCAGAAATCGCACGTCCGTGTCTGTCGTCCCTCCCATGTCTACGACGTCGCGATGTCGGAGCTTCGTCGCGTTCGTTAGGTCGCGATCGTAGGCGTCAAGCGCGACTGACTTTCCATGGTCTTCTGACTTCTTCGGAACTGAGTCTGGTTAATGTGGCTAGGGTTTAGGGTTTTGAGGTACTGCTCGTTCCGGTGAGGGATGACGAACATTCTTCCCAACCTGCGATCGTCATTTCCAGAGTCCCACTGCACTGGCAACAGTGGAATCACTCTGTATCGAACCTTGTTGTTTATCTTTCACTCTCAAGGCAGCAATGGATCACGCTACTAACTGTTTCGCCATACATTCCAATATCAAATAGATTGTTGATTACGTACTTATATGTTAGATGCAGTGACATATGTTCCTGCTGTGGTGCCTTCAGCATTAGCTTTAGCTTTACTGTCTTTCTTTCTTCCACTCTCACTTCGTGCGCCTTCCCTTCACTTGTTAGCTCTAATTTTCGCGCGAAGTCCACCACTAAAAGTTTTTGATGATTTAGTGCTAGCAAATCCATGGTAGCTCTTGAGTAAGTTTATTTGGTATCGCGTGAAATATTCATTTCGGTGTGTTTTGAGAAAGTTTTTTCTTTCTATGGGGGCAATCCCCTGATGGCGGTAAGTTTTTCGGGGATTGCTCATCGGGTCACGAATGAGTAATTGCTCGTGTACTCCACACTTCGGCCTTCAGACATCGTTCGACCCCAGGAAACCATGATCCCTGTCACGTAAGTTGCATCAAAGGATTCTTTTTGGCACAGGTGTACACTAACAACTTCATCCACTTAAGGCTCGAGTCAGAGAGCTTAATAAAGTGCAGGTTGTTCTCAACCTAGCAATTCACATGCAATATACCCTATTTCGGTTTTCTTTAGTTCTAGCTTTAAATAGGAATGCACAAATGCGCTATTTACACGAGCAACGAAGACATAGAGCACCATTCCATTAGGTACAAGAAAGAACAGCGGGATCCACTTCAAGAGTTACTGGAAAATCCAGATCCAAGCCGTCATTGAAGCCGAAGTGAAGTCGGAATAAGTTGAGATGGATGCATGAGATTGAGATGACAAAAGAGTGAAAGGTTCCTCTTTAGATTTATCACGCTTCCAAAACAATGTCAACAGAAAATACCCAGCTGTCAATGTGAAAACCAGGACATTCACAGGGTAGTTCAAGTTGTACAAACTAAATATGAGTGTGGGCTCTTTGCCCTGATATTTACACATACATCGGCCAATGGAAGGCTCGTATCTTCACACTTGACATCAAATTCTCGTGTGCATGCAACGGTTAAAGTAGGTAATCATTTGGGTGCGAAAACCATAAGTGGAAAAACCACAGTAGCACAGGTAAATTTACAGTAAAGTTTTGAGTCACGTCAGGAAAGGAGAGATTCAGATAGCCTCCCGGTAACACCTCTCACTTTCTTGTAGATTCGACCTAGAATATAAGCGACGAAACTCCAAATGCATGTGATCACTGCATCGCAGACCATGAGGACAAATGACATATAATAATGTATACGGGGACAAACCGACACAGGATACAGAGCGTCAGTTCAAAAGCCTCAGGACCAAGCCTCCCGGCTAATGGAACTCCAATCGAAAGTTAGGATGATTCACACGGATCTCCGCATAAAAAATTGAAGCATGCTATCCTCCACTTCATCACACGGCAAACAGCATCAGCTGTGAAATTGGGAAATTCCTTTTCGAGGAAGAGGCTAAAAGCATGAAACGCATTGATATCAACACAAGCATGAAAATACTAACACAGCTCAGAGATCTACCTGGAGCTGTGAGTTTTTCCAATTCTTGAAGCTCTGAAATTGCACGATCTATAATTTTTCCACCCCTTGTGGACGCTCTCAAGACTTCCAAATCGTAGTTAGCTCTGTATGAGCCCATTGGTCTCTTATCTCGCCTACAAGACTCTTTCCTTCTACGCAAAGAAAAATCTGGAGATCCAGTCGCAGGGAGACTACAGCAAACCTCTCTACAAGGACTAACAGAAAATTGTATGACCAAGGATGAAGGCTAATCCCTTCATAATGACTAACCTGTGTAACAGAGGAAAGTAGCTCAAAAAAGCTGAACTAATTTGGCCATCCTCAACTAAGTACATTTTTTTGGTGACCCATTATCGTGATCACGCGCACATGACTTGCTCGCAAGCTAGTAGAGCCTGGTTAGCAAAAAATCTCACATCTACATCTGGATCTTCATTCAACTCCATAAGACATGGGCGGATTGTTTGATCCACTACCTGCACGCACGAGGCTCAGTCCACATTAATTGAAAGTGTCAAAATTATAAAACACGCAAGCACCACAGGTTTACTGCAAATTTCTACCAGAACTAGGGCACCAGAAACTCTTCCGCCTACACGATTGCGTGACTTTTCGTCTCCGTACACTTGAAACACCCTATGATTCTGTATTAACAAAGATATAAATTGCTGGAAGGCAATCAAGGGGGTTTAAGACAAATGCAACCACCAAGGAGGTAAACGCAACCATACCGTCGAATCTACAATCGGTATCATAGACTGCAGCATTTTAGCAACATTGAACTTTATGTTGGGTACCCTGCACAAAGAATTTCAAACAACGTTTGAACCTCCTCTTCAAAATATACAACAAGCATTGCAGACTCTAATGGCCAGGTCCAAACGGACGGGGAGATGTTAGCAAGATTCACCAATAGCAGACCCGACTTCAAAAGCACCCTACTGAACCAGATCACTGCTGTTGTCGTACCTGTCCTTGGCTGCATTAATAACAACTGGGAGCATAGTCTGGCATGTAACTTCCGCGCCAACAACCGGTGCCAGCATTGAGATGGCCGACAGCACAGTCATACGGTATAAATAATGAGGATTGTTTATCATTTCCAGCACCTGCGAGCCACCCACCAAAAGCATTATCTCTAGCACACATCCTTGCGTGCGTAATATAGGTGTCACATTGCAAAGCTCTACACACCCAGATATAGATCAGACATGATTCCAACGTGCACAGTAACTTCACGAAAACGAAACCAGGAAACTCATCTGAACGCTGGAAGGTTGTCCCCCTTCATACCACAACGATAAAAACCATGTCTCATGAGAAGGTGGAAGTCTATGATCCAACACACCTGTGGTATGATGTGTTGCATGGCCCACTCTGGACCAAATTCTTCGGCAAGCCTCTTCAGGTTGTTTGCTGCTGCCTCTCTAATCGAGTAAACCTATTTCGAGATTGGTAATCAAGGACGCTCGATTAGGAGCCAATTTCATTATCTAGAAAGATCTTAGAACTCAAGACAATGATCATGCACAAGGAATCTACGGAAATTAGGATATACACATTCTAAGTGAAGTTCAAGTGAAGATCGGCGGTGACACAGAGTCGGGAAGAAGGTCTGAATCAGAAGCGACGTTGCTCGAAAAGCACCTTATCACCAAGCCACTGCATGCAGAGGGTGCCAAGCTTGTCATCGAAAAAGTCTACACCCAGCTGACTGGCTAGAAGCGGTATGTACTCGATGATAGCTAGTCGCACTCGCCAATGTTTGTCCCCTGCTAACTCAACGATGGCAGGAAGCAATGACTGTGATAGAAGATCGATACCAATCACCTGTCATCAACCATCTGAAACTCGTCATGTTGCAGTCGTAATGATGCGGAACTGTCAAATTCAAGGTAAGAATGCAGACGCTTGACACTGGGAAACAGGTGTCGGATGTGCGGCGGAGGACCAATAGCAGGTCCCAAATATGTCTAATGAATACGAGCAGATTCTTATGCATAATTTGTAGCAAAACACTTGCTATATTAAACTACTCTGCGATCTAGATCTGTGGTCAAAAGAACATAACCATCCAACTTATCCATACCTTGTTAACTTGGTCAAGTTTGCTGATAATATTAAGCCGCACATCTGGAAACTCGTCTTTCAACAGTTCCAGGAATATTGGCAACAGCTGATCGATGGTAGCCTCCTGAGAAAAAGACAAGAACCATCTGATGAAATACGATACAAAGTGAAACTTAAGGAGACAGAAACCTTGAACGACATTGTCAAAGTTACATATGTGCTGTCGAGACCATATCTGGGAATAAATGGAAGTCGATACAACAATATGACTACAAGGAAACCCCGTACATACGTTTCAAGGAACAACCATAGGACTAAAGTGGGTGCGAGGAAATCATATTACCTTCCCCAATAGGGGGGCCATGCCCATAATAACGGATGCCAGAGCCGCGCGCACGTGCTGTGAAGAATCAGTTGAGAGGTCCTACAGAGCCAGAACAGAAGGTGAGACAAATAATTCACAGCGCTAAGCAAACGCGACGCTTTCCTTATCCACGTTATCCCACACAAGGGCAAAAAATGAAAAGCAGAACGAGCATTCGCAAAAAGACCAAAACACTATCTTCACCACACAATTAGGAACCACAAAAGAGTCTGACAAGCTGTAACTACTTAAGCTGAAGTCTTCTTTATGATACGAAACTCGTAAAAAGTGCTACGGCCCGACCTTTAGAGGAGAAAGAATCAAATCATGGATTTATTTGCAAACCTTGACACAAGGCAGGATGTGCTGGATTGCAGATTGAGCGCTGATTATACCACAGAACTTCGTAACCTTCCCTGCTGCCGCAATTCTCACTTCCGCCTCGTTATCTCGCAACAAACGAACGTAAGCTGGGACAAGCTCCGTCCTTCATTCACAAATTTTCCTTCGTGTCAATATACAATCCGACATCAAAGATTTCTACAAAGTTCAAAATAAGCTAACAAGTTTCAGAACCACCTATCCGTGTCTGCGTTGTGAATCTAAGGAGCACTCAAAACGCCATTTGACAAATCGAGTCAGACATGCGGCCTAAGATATCCTAAGATATCTCGTGTCAGCACAACATCCTGATTGACAAGCAATTTAGACCAATCCGAACAACAATACTCTTACTAGTAAACCATAGCTCTATAGAATACTCTTCAGGTGCAGAAGCCTGCGAAAGATATGCTCCAACCAGCCATGTACTTTTCTTGTCTCTGCCAATATCGAAGTAGACCAGCTTTGAGATTTAGCTAACTCCTTACCTTGTGGGCTCCGGTCCTACAGCTTCACAAAGCTCATAGAGCTGATTAGCTACCATATATCTAACCCTCCATGATTTATCCTGATCAAAGAACGACAAATATAAGTACTTGGTTTCAGAGGTTTCAACAACCAAACCGAAACGATACACTCGCATGTCCTTTAGAATGTTAGAAGACTGTGTAGACAACATAAGAAGAAAAAGTAAAGGGAAGGCTATTGGAAACGCTAGCTGCGAAACTCAAATGTAGAAACGTGCGAGCCGTACAGAACGAGTTCATCGCAAAATATATTGGGCTTCCAAGCCAGATGATCGTGGATGTGATTCGGATATTCAGAACAGCAATTCCCTGAAGACCAACCTGTGAGAAACTGACGATCACTGGCAGAATATTTGTGATGCAATCGGCAGGCTCCAGCAGCTTTCCAAGAGCAGCGCATCCTTCCACAGATAGTAGCCGCACAGAATCTTGATCTGCCAGAAGTACTCGAGTTAGCACAGTGGACTAAGACTTTGTCATACGTGGAACTCAAAAACCAGTCTCCTCGAAATTCGTCATCAAATTGCTATAAATAGAGCTTAGGGCCACACCGTCTTGAGTGAGGTCCTTGAAGAAAGTCATAATGTCTGACTTCAAGTTAGCAGGCTCGACGGTCGCGGCAAATTTTCCAAGGTTCAGGCCAGCCGATCTTCTGACCATGGGCATATCATCATGACACAGCTGGTTGTAAACTGATCTTAGCTCAGCACGAAGAAGGTCCGGAGCACTGGGGTATGCAATGTGGAAGAGCCCGCAGGCAGAAACACGGGCAGTGAACCACTCGCCGGCACCAAGTCGCTGCAAAACAAAAATTCAAAAAGAAGAAGGGATGGTAAATACACTGCAGGGTAACCTATGACAACTTGTCACTGCGTTCAGCCATATGAAATTGGACTAGGTACGCGTCCAATGCAGAAATTGGACTAGGTACGCGTGGTTTTGAGTCAGTTGCCGTGTCCTCTTATCATACAGAGAAAACATTTCAGTATTTATTGAACTTTAGTTACCCTAAATATGTTGCAAGTAACCCATTTGCTCAAATGAAATCACTTAAAAAACTCGAGATCTGGAACCAAAATCATAGTAGAGTAGGTAGTTGACTTTTCGGCCAAAAGTCAACTACCTCTTCCTCAACGTCGTGACTGCTTCGTGCCACGTCGTTGAAGGAGAGGTAAGTTGACAGAATACCTTCTGTTGCAAATCCTATATATGCACCAAATATGCATTCACCGCTAGACTTATGGGTTTTTTCTTCATTTGAACGCACCAGCAGCCTGGCCTTGAAGAAGACAATTTCAGCTGATGCAGCAAACGTGCAACAACATTCTAGTTTCAACAATACAGCTGAAACTAGGAACGAATACGAAATGTATAGCATAAAAAAGGCTTCCAGGAATTTTTCCAGCGTTTGGTTTTGCGCCCAATTCTGTGACTTCGGCCAATTCAATGATAGTAAGAAACGCCTTAAGGTTCACGTAGCTCAGCCTCTCGAATAAGCTCCAATTCACCTACTTTGCAAGGACAACCTCGAAGCCTAGCACTTCTACCTGGCCTCAACAAAGAGAACCCGCCACTTAAACTCAGGTAACGATTTACACAGCCAAAAAGCATGGAAAAAAATCCCCGTATATCACAGGAGACTCCGGTGATACAGTCAATTCCCGCAGGCTGTTGAATTTCATACGAACAGTGATCAAGGGAATTATCCGCAATACTAACATTGTTGAAAACAACCTGTCACTCCACACTGTGAATGGGCACCCAGGCAGAGGAAATGACTAGGGTTCATGGATAGGATTCATCCCGATGGAGACAAAAGCTCGCTGTGGTAATCTGCACTTCGAAAGTACGGGTACAAGAAAGTGCACTTGATAGCTAACCGTCGTGGTTACCAATTTTAGGGGAGAAGTCCTCCCGAGATGAGTTAAGTCCTGACAAGGCAAATATGGAAGAAATCGAAGCCTAGTGTGTAACATGCTCTAATTGATGCCTCGGCTGATAAACATCGAGCATCGAGAATGTACAGAAGTTGATGCACAATCACAGAGGGCGATACCTTGACCAAGGGAATGAACCAGTCGACTACATCGCGCTCCTTCATTTGAGATCCAATCTTACAGAGCGACTCCACAGCCTTGTCGCGCACAACTGTCTCCTCGACAGTACACAGAGTCTCCAACGGCGGCAGCAGCACATGCGCGTGCTCCACGCCTCCGACGTGAGGGATGAACGAGCCCAATTCCTCGGCCATCGCGAGGAGAACCTCGTCATCATCGTCATTGTTCTCGCTCAGGAAAGGAATGAGCTCCTTCCGCGTCCTGTCCTCGCCTAAAGCCCGCGCAATAGTGGAAAGGCGGCGGATGGAATTCAACCTCAGTTGAATATCATCGTTCTTCAGCTCGTCTATTAATATTGCAATCGGATACAGCGGCTCGTCTACCATGGCCATCGCTTGCTGTCCTCCACGAAAAACACACCACCTCTGTCCGACCTCCGATGTTACCCTGTTTCCAGCCCTTCAAACTCCTCGCCCTCGTACTCCTCGTCGTCCTCCTCGTCCTTCTCCCGCACTCACCTGCTCCTCCACTTTTCCGATTCTACTCGCCCCGTCTGCTCTAAAATCCTCGTCCTACCACTTGGTCACGTCCTCGTGCTCGTCCTCGTCTGCTGCGGTCCGAGCCCGGTCAAGCCGATGCGTCCCAACCCTGAGAAGCCCGACGACAGAGAGATCCGATCGCGCAGGTCGCAGTGGAGAAGGCTCGTTCGTCGACGAATGTCGGAGCGACAGGCCGAATGTGAAGCTTTCGCGAGCCCGGCCTTCCTCCCTCCTCGTCCTCCCTTCCGCCCTTCCTTCCTCCCTCGCCTTCGGGGGCCAGCAAGAAGAACTCTCGGGAGCGTGCTAACGGGCCGCGGCATTCACTCGCTCCCCAAATAAAGCTGCGATTCCGTCCCTGGCCTCCTCCTCCGCTCCGCTACGTCCCTTCTTCCTTTCGTCGTCGTTCCGGCCTCTCTTTCTCTCCTCGCTCCTGGTCCTTTGGCTCCTTGGCCGTCGTCCTCCACTGTGAGGATCGGCCCTCTCCCTCTTCCCGTTTTTGTTCCCCATTTCTCGTCCTGCTCATGTCCCCACGGAGGACTTCGGCTCGGTAGGGAGTAGGGTCCAGTGCACCTGCATCGGGGTTTTTTCCGTTCATTTGAAGTGGAGGTTACTGTATGTCATTACGCATGTACAAGGAACATCACATCTCCACATAATTCCTTCTGTCGTTGGCTGCATTGGGGGGAGGAATGGATACTTTGGCAGACTCTGCCAAATTTGGTGGACGTCAGATGAAATGATCAGCGAGTATGACACCTTCCATCATGTGGGGATGGACGGCTATTTTATTTTCCTCTTGGGAAGAATTCATGAGTTCTTGTCATACTTGTTTGAATCATCTTCAGTGACGTGTTTAGTTAGCATGTAGGTGTGTACCTTCTTCTTTTCTGTCTAATTGCAAATTTTCATTTACGAAGGGTCATGAACAACATCTTCATCATCGAAATTTATGTTGATAACTTAGAAAAACAAATTGCACAATGCGCATGAAATTCATTCTATTAATTAAGTTTTACAATGATAAGAATTTTTGTAAAGATTTTATATAATAGGATATGTTGATGTTTTTTTCTGAGTCACAAACTTCAATACATTGAACACCACGGGATATAAACAACAACGCTAACACATGACGAAATCAAGATATGAGTAGTTGTATAGATAAACATCATTATTTTATGTCATGATTTTAAAGAATAAGTGATTGTGAACCTTTCGTGAAATTATGTGAAAGATGAAGTAAAAAATGCATATATAGGATTTTGTAAATTATGAGAGTTTTTTTTATGCCGAAGTAATCTTATTTGAATTTTTTTGGTGATAATTTACAAAATGTTCAAGATGAATGTGTGACATTTTGATTGCAATTGAAACTTTATGACAATGCACAATTACTTCACATAAAGGTTAAATGTTTTCATGTGTGAGCTCAAGTTTAGTGCAGAGAAATGAATAAATTCACAATTTAAATAATCTTGATAAAAATAAAAAGTTATTATGATGCATCTTAGCTACAACAAATTTTGATTTAGAACAAGTTTCTCTTGATAATTTAAGAGATTCAAACTTGATTGTTGCAAAATATTTTCATTTTACTTTTATATATCATATTGAATGAAAATATATTAAGTAGTTTGAATGAATAAATTTTCAAAATCAAATTTAAATTTATCATGAAATTGCAAAAAATAAACTCTATCTTAGTATTATCAAAAAATTGAATGTATACAATAAGCATATATTAATATACAATTTTTTTGAAATTTCATGTCAAATGCTTAATAATATTGTATTTTACTTTTAATTGTATTTGAAACTTAATATAAAATCCAAAGTTTTTGAAAAAAATTCCAATTTTTAAAAAATGTCATGTTATTCCAACAGCATACATAATTGTTAATCATGTATTTTTATATTTATAATTTTATATATATATCAATCATCAGACTATATTTTTAGTATAAATATTTATAAGTTATATGAGAATTGTAATTTAGTAAAAAATATAAATATTTATTTTTCTGATACACAAAAAACATGTTTTAATTGTATTTTTTTATTCAACTTCAAATAATTGAAAAAATTAAAATTTGAGATTTTTTTGAAAATGTTCATCATGACTAATGAAAAGAAATTAAATTTGAGATTATTTTAAATTAGATTAAAAATTTCATATTCTAATATAAAATCAAACTATGTATGACTAACATGATGAAAATGTTACTAAATTAATTTTCAAATAAAAATTAAAAGAATTTATGTAACTATTGCAAATTATGTGATTTTAAAATTATGTAAATAATGTAAAATAATGTAACATGCACATTTGCAAATTCAATGAACGCACTAATGTGTCAACATAGTAATAATTTGTTTTAAAATTGAGCTTCTTACATTTAATTTAATATTAAAATGATATCAATCTAATATAAATTAAAATTAGTAAACAAGTGAATTTCTAGGATGAATTTATATTACTCATTCGAATAGAACTTTTGTTTTATAAATGCACAAAATATAATGATAGATATAAGGTTCAAATAATAAATTTTTTTCAAATTGAATCTGAATTTTCTTAAATCTTGAACTAAATTTTGAAATATCGTATGAGCAAGATGCTTAGGAATCATATATTGATATAGATTTTATACAATTTGAAATATATTATTCTAGCAAAATTGCAGACTGAAAGTTTGTTTTTTTTATGAAATATGTGTTTTACATATATGTTGGAAATAATAATGATTTAAAATCATGAGAGCGGCTAAAATGGAACACAAATTATTAACGTTATTTGATTTATTATAGTATTAATGCACTGACTCTTGAGATTCTATTGCAATTGAATTATTTTGTGACAATTCATTACAATGAACTTATTATAACTTTAACACGATATTTGAGCAGTAAGATAATCTTCTCAGATTATATATGAATAAATAAAGAAACAATTTTTTGAATGAGTATTAAAAAAAAACATCTTACTTTACATATATGTATTATATTTTATACTATATATAACTTAAACTTGCTTATAACTTCTAGACAGACTCTTCTATTCTAACAGAAAATTTCAGTTTCATACGTAAGAAAATAGGAATTTTATATGCATTCGATAATGAATACGATATGATGTTAGATGAGCAACAACACAATAATTTGACCATTTTTAACTGCAGACATTGTCGAAAATTTTGAAATAAACTCAAAATGGGATTTTTTCTTATTAAATGTAGTTACAAACTACAATGATCTCATAGTGCATCACAACTTCCATTCTTACTTCTTAAAAAATATAATAACAAATTTTATTATTATTTATTATTTTATTATCTATATTGAACTACAGTGTATGTAGCACATTTTTTCAATCTGTTAATAATAAATCATATATAAGTTTTATTAGGTTTTATTCTAGTCATTTTAAGAGTAATCTTTCCAACTGTTCATAATGAAACAAATTGGAAAAAAAATTTCATTTAAATCTCATTAAAAGTGAATATTAAATCCGAATCTATTGACTTTACTTTATCTAAAAATTATTTAAAAGTTATTGAAGGGCTTTTAGATTCATAAAGTTGGGTTGGGAAATAGTTTTCAATCAGCAGCAATTGACGCAATTGGTTCTTAGGTCAATGGTTGGAGAGAGCATGCACGTATATTGAAATTTCAGAATACTAACCCAAAAATGTTAGATGATGTTTTATAAAATAAACTTCCTGTTGATGAGCTTGATTATCACGAGCATAGATATTCGGGGATCACACTAAACTTATTGTCATACACTAAGTAGGGTTAGCTTCCGAAGGCGTAGCTTTCCTCTCCTGAGAGTCGGGATTGATATATGGCCATAGCACGAATCTCGCTTTTCAATCGGAGTCCGCCCTGTCCTGTACGAAGGCCTGGAGAGGGTACAGGAGATTTTACATTCGCGTGCGATGAGTCCTTTGCCAAAGCAAGCAACTTCTTACGAAGCCATGGTGCCGGTGCGCACGACGTCGCAGCTCCATTAGGTCAGGGCGCGGAGGGAGTCTGTGAGCGAGACACTGCTGTGCCGTGTGAGTCGAGAGAAGCGAGGGACGAAGTGAGGGAGGGAGGAATCGGAAGCGCGTGGTGGTTTCTTCCTCGATTTTGATCGAACAATTTTTGCTGTCGCGGATTTTCATCGCCGGAAAGGATGCAGAGCATTTCGGAGCTCGAGGAGAATTTGACCACCTATGAGGAGCAGCTGCAGCAGGTTGGTGGAGGGATATTTGCCATTCTCATCCGTGTGGTCTAAAAGTTCGACCTCGTTGACTATACCGGATGCCCACATTGTGTCTTGCATCACTGTCCATTCGATTCGCGCTGTTGTGAGGAGTTTTCGCGATAGCTTTTAGCTTGTCAACAGCCCAGCATCAGTTTTACGAAGAAGAAGTTCAATCCATAATTTGAAATATTTGTCGGGTCGAAGGTTTCTAGAAGAATTTCAGAGGACTGGTTTATAGTTTTTCCCGATTTTCAAAACGGACTGACGAAGTTACATATTTTCTATCGGAGAATTTTTCTGAAATACTAAGTTTTCTTTTTAAAATAACTGATATGGAATGTTTTTCGTAGTCTTTTATATATTAGCACTACTGCTGAATTTTTCCTGCAAGCCCTTGACAGCTGGCGAATCTACTCGTGTCACCCAATATATGTAGTTCGTTGTTAATTGTCGTGCTCCCGAGTCAACCAAAGCTTAGCTGCTATCCTTGCCTATTACGAATCTGTCAGCATCCAGGAATTATCAAGTGTAGCGTGAGATGCAGAGGGTAAATCTTTCGTTTGCACTGGTAATTAACATAGCCTTCCCCGACAGCAAATAGTGTTGCTCAAAATTCGGACTTTGTTTAAACCCTAGTTTTACTTTAGGGTGCTGCAACTATGCTGGGAGTGGCTTTTTAAGGTACTGGTTTGAACCTAGCTCGTTAATCAAATCGTGTCTTCGTTCCGTACGGCGGCTCTACTCTTGTGTGGGCCGTCAAGCGTGGAGCACAAATGAACAGTGGAGAAATTCCAAGAACCGAGGAATTTTTTCAAGGCCATGCTCTCTGCGTCTCTTCGGTATTGGTTTCTTTGGAAAAATTTCTGAGACTTCAGTAGTTCTGAACACTAAAGAAGTTACAAAGGGTATGTATTGGACACCACTTTTGGTCTGTCAAAGATAAAATATTTAAACTTCTTACTTAAATAGAAGGTAGAAAATTGGCACAATGACGTAAGGGGCATGATTGAACGTTATTTTGAAGACACGCGGATCTCTTGCGTTCTGCTGCATTTTTTGTTAGTGGTTCACTTTACTTTCTTGCTTACCTGCCCAAGTACTCCTGGTTTCCTTGCTACGGCAATGGATATTATTTAACGGGCATCCTTGTGGGAAGTCAACCGGGTATCTGTTAGACGATCAACAAGGATCAGAATGCAGTTGTCGTGTGCAAAGATTTCGAGTTTTGCGATCATGCTAACGGTCGTTCAGTCCACTTTTAAACTGCTGTATTGGTTAGTGGAATATTGAGCATAACAGACATCGTCTTTTTTTACCCGACGTATTGTCATGCACTTAGGCTCTGAATCTGTATGTGCTTGTTCAAACTGACCTAGCAGTAAGGTATTCCGATTTCATTGTGATTCTCTTCTTAACATTACCTTGATCTGAATCATTTCCACCTCCAGTATAGAAATGAAGATATTATGGCACTTGTTCGAATTGATGGACGGTATTTAATTGAACTGGCAGGTGAAGGAGCTACATGAAGCTGAGCCAGACAATGCTGAATATGGGGACATGCTCAAGGAACTGGAAGAGGTAAGTAGGACTAGGGGTCTTTCCTCGTTAGATTAGGAGATTCGCAAAAAACCGAAATTGAAACTCGTTTGCATCTGATGTATTAGGAAATGTTTACTAGAACCTGGTAATCTAAAGTCACACTGCTGAGTGAGAGAAAAGAGAGAATGTGAGTGATGTAAGCTAGTCAGTGTACCTAAGGGGTCACCAATGTTGTTCAAGCAGGGCAGCACGACACAGCTGCATGCGAGACAGGACCTTTGTCGGAGTTGCTTTGCAAGGTGAGGTGGTTTGCCCTCTTGAAAATGGAACTTAGTGCTGCGACGTGAGCTCTGGGGCCTCTCAGAGTTATCTTCACACCCCCTCACTGTCGTAAATATTATGCTAGGGCGGTGATGCTGTCATCATAATGCGCAGCACTAAATATGGAGAAGTTTCTCTTGCGTTTCTTCGTAGGTCATCTGCGTCAGATCCTTTGGGCTAGCTCTCAACCCAAAAGAATAGCCTTGTTCTTGCAGGTGTTCAGATTTCCCAGTATCGATCACTTCTTCTCATGGAGATTATTTGGCATGACGTCGGGATGGTATAGGTGATTGAGCTGACCCGGGATCTACTTGCTACGGCGAGACAATCTGAGCCGGAACCACCATCTTCTACAGTACAGATTCCCAATCACTCAATACTGGTGAACGATAGGGTATTGAATGCTCACACTTTCTTATCGATTTTGGATGTTTGCTGCTGTATGCGTTGACGTTGCTTATACTGAGTATACTTCTTAGGTTTAATACTTGACCAGCTATTCAATTTATTCACTAGCCCTTGCCGGCACCTCTATTACAGGATGGTTACGAAACACACGACGTACCTGGAAGACTTCCAATAGGCACCAGAGTTCAAGCTGTTTGGAGCGAAGATGGTGAATGGTGAGTTTTAACTCTCAAATTCATCCACTCCGTAGGCGTCTCTTGAGCAAGACTCCTCTAGGGCTAGCATATCATGCGTCGTGGAAATGGATACTGTATCTCGTCGCCAAGCTCTCTGTACTGTACGTCTGCGTGATGTACAACTTTTAACAGTACTAAAATTTTGTGCTTGCAAACTTTCCTCTCAAGTATGTGCCTTCCCTGTTTTATTTAATCTGAGACCCCTCATTTGAGAAACCTCTTGAGCTAGTTAGACCTATTTTACATCTCTACCCTCTTATATTCCTTTTGGGACTTATTACCTGAAACCAGACCGTTCATGATTAGAGCTTATTTACATAAGCATGGAATTAGAAACGTCTTAATGCTATGCTTAATGCTTAATGCTTAGAAATCAAAGTTTGTGTACATATATAACTTCGACTTATCGTTTCAATTCTGATTTTGCTGAAAGGTTGTATCCAGTAAGATCCAATCTGCTGTAATATTGTCAATGCACTCCAAAACAGTATCTGCTTCCGCAGTTACTAGCACCTTCTAGGCTTTGTTATCTGTGATAGCCACAATCACCTTGTAAATATAGATTAGACCTTACCCCCTGCGCGGTACAAAATAGAAACCTATTTACCGTGGTAACCACTGACGAAGCATCTTGGATCATGCGACATTAGAGTGATGCCCATTGGGGCACATAGATGTTGTTGATAGTTCCTCGTTCGTTAATTCGCATCGGATTTTAGGAACTATACCGTACCATGATCTGTTATTGCATATGCACTCGTTTGTGCACTATACATTCTTCAGTTTCTACTTCTTCTAAACTCCCCGATGCTTCTGTTGTCATCCTAGATAATACACGAGAGATAACAAATTGCCCTCTCTTTATTGTTTTCTGGACACATTTTAGTTAATCACAGACGATACTCAAGCACTGAAGGTATATTTTTGGTGTGCAGGTACAATGCCACCGTTGAGGCGATCACACCAAATGGCTACTTCGTTGCTTATGATGAATGGGGCAACAAAGAGGAGGTAGATCTGATCCTCTTTGTTAAGTTCGAAAGTCGTTTCAACTTCTCACAAAGTGGTTTTAGTTGTTGGTAATAGGCAGGGTTGTTGAGGATGTCATATTTCTGCCCATGCATTAGTTGTTTAAGTGGATCTCGAATCGAGTCATTCCAGTCAAATCAGAGTGCATGGCATGTTGGAGCAAAGAAAGGAGAAAAGTATCGAACGATTTTAGAGCTGTTAGGTTTGGTCTAAGCGTCTCAATGTTTATTGTTACATTGGGGTGATCTCAGATCACCATATCGAGGAATAGGACCGCAGCTCCTGCTACAATTCACGTCAGATAATTAAGCCCTTGAATTGATTTTACAGGTTGATTTAGGGAATGTCAGAGTGATCGGATCTCAGGAGGACGAAAACGTAGCTAGTGAAGATGATGCATTTTTAGATGCTGAGAAAGAAGCTGAAGCTACCAAGCAGGCGCTGAAGCGGAAAATAGCCCAAGCGGCTGATATCGACGTTATGCCCAGGGATCTACCTGCCAAATTAAAAATACGTCCGGAGGATCCTGAGGACCTGGTGAGTCTAAAAAGACATCCGTGAAGTAATTAAGAAATTGCTATTGGTTCCTATATGATGTAAAGTGATGAGGACTCACACCATTGGAATCGAGGATATTCTCTAAATCTCTTAGGCCGAGAAAGGTCCCGTAGAATAATACTCTATGATCATATGCTATGAATCAAGTTGCACCTATACTACGGTCTCGAATCATGATATGCAAATACTGATGATCGTATGTGTGGTTTTCGGTGGTGGATAGAAACTGGCGAAAAGAAAGAAAATTCATGCTTTCAAGTCAAAGCAGAGACTTGAACAAATGGAGCTTACTCAAAACAAGCGACAAAATGCTTGGCAACAATTCCAAACCGCCAAAGGAAAGTCGAAAAAGGTAAGTGGAAACAGACTCGCACTCAATTCGCTCTTATAAGCGCTTGCCATTTTTCTGAGTGAAAAACTTTTTTAAAAAAAACGCCTGTTCTTGTTATGTATTTGACAGTATTTCTCTCGTGATGCTTTTTCTAAATGACATAAATATATGTTGCTCCGAGTAGCACGAGTATCTGACCAGTGGACAATGTCTCTACAGCAAGTCGGCTTTTTCACGGGCCGCAAGAAAGAGAGTATCTTCAAATCTCCAGATGATCCGAAAGGTAAGGTCGGGGTAACAGGAAGTGGCAAAGGAATTACAGAGTTTCACAAACGAGAAAAGCATCTCCACATGAGAGTAGGAGCAGAAGATGGAGAAGACTGGCAATAAGCGCTAATGACATAACTACGGTGTAGACTGTAATTGTATAAATTCTTGAATAGAACGTTCCATTTCTTCATGTTGCATCTGTAAATGTCTTTGTACGCTCAGCTGCGAGTTTGTCATCGTCTTTAGCTAAACCAGATAACACCTAAAATCGACGGTGATATTGTCGATTGTTGTGCAAAAGCCAAATTCTTGTACACGGAAGTTATAACTGTGCGGTACTCGGAGAACATTCATTTAGTTAGATTGCGTCCAGTGGCTGTTGGATACGATAACAACCTTTACACTTCTTTCCTGGGATTCTTGTCCGGTTATGGATACTTTAGATGTAGATTGATATTATACTTCGTCCGGATGGCGACCTTTGAGCATAAATTGGTATCGAAGAAAGTAGAGTAGATCAAGGTTTTCCAGCTGTGGGGAAATCCGTCGATCAAGAGAATATATCCTCTTTCGCAGCTGTAGGCTTTTGAATGCCTCAGGCAGACCTTCAAGCTAAACTTTCTGAGCAACATGAATTATGGAGTAGATTGAAGGCAGCAGAGAAGAAATTCCTTGCGGGCTAGAGGGAAACGGACTCGACAGCAAAGGTAGCCCAGAGCTTCAGCTGAACAATAGCGAAGGTAGAGTCATGGATATCACTGGTGGTCCTCATCGTATTTGGTGACTACTTAGATTTAGATGTTGCGCACGAAAGTTTAAGTGGGGCCAGAGTGAGTACAACTGTTTGCGTCTCAAGCTGTGCAAGTCGAGAACTGCATCTTAACACCATTTTTATTGTATAAACCTAAACACAAGTACACAGGTTGACACCTGGCATGTACGGCAATCCCTGTTTAACAAATCCAGTCGTCTCTTCTCGAAGACGTTCCGAAACGGTCAATAGTCTGAAATGTCCGATGGTAGTACAAATGTCCTGTACGACTAGATATTGTCTCCGCACCTTACATGCCACATAACTCCGTGCCTTTTACACCGTAGAGTTTCGCAAAGGTGCCCATTTTCTGCCGTTAAGAAAATGCCAGTGTGTTCTTCAGCGTAGACATGTTGGTCAAATGGAACCATCAGTCCGAATTTCGCACTTGTGTACTACTTTTGACCTGCAGTTGGCGTCTGAAGGAGAGAGACAAACTTCCTACTTGTTTTAAAATCTTAGTATCTTTCAAAATCTCTTGAAAATGGTCTCAAACACCAGAAACCTGCGAAAGTAAGCTTTTTGTTTGGTAATAAGATATACGTTTTCCTGCTGCCTTTCAGGTATCTGTATCACCGTATCTTCAATTCACATGTGAAAACGCTAGAAATAACCATGTTGACGCTTAACGCTGTCGTGTTTCAACCCGAAATACAACCCGTTGCCAGCTTCTGACCGCGAAAGTAAAAGGAGGAAATCTTCAAGTAACAAGACCTGGATTCGAACGTGTCTGAAAGGACGTCCTTGAAAGTTGTATGAAGTCTACACTGCTGTCTCTGGACGTCCCCTCCAGAGACAGAAGTTCTCATCTTCCACCTCGTACTTCCTGAACAAAGTCCTCCCATAACGTAGACTGGCTCGTTCATAAAGCATGGCAGGCTGGGAAAACAAATGCCAGGGAGGAGGGTTGTACATTTCAGCTACCGTCCAGTACATGCAGAAAAACCCGAAGCTGTCCGGGAGCAAGAGCGTTATTATACTCAGTACCACGTGCTCCTCATCCTCTTACTCGGGATGAAATCGCAGGTGGTGAAAATCAGACCATTTCCACATCTGTACAGCACCGCACACATCCTCGATCTGTTCCCAAGCAGCCGCCCACCCCCACTGCAGACCATTTTCATAACTACGACCCCCGATCTCCGGGTGTCACGTTATTCTCCTCGTCTTAAAGCAACCTTACTTCGTAGACATTCCGACGTCGCTTTTGACCACCCCGCTGTAGAATTCTGTCACTCTTCCTGCCAATTCCACACATCCTTGCCGCCACTCCAGAACCTCGGAGAAACATTTCCATTCACCAGAACCTGAGAAACTTCTTGCGAGACTCGAAGCGACGCTACCACCCTCGCGCGCAGTCAAAAGCAGTCAATCGCCCTCCCTCGCCTTGACTCGTCTCGTCGCCCACTTGGGGCAGTTGAGTGACACGCAAGTTTGCACTGTGGAACTCGACTCGAGTACGTCGTCAACGTCCAGCCCGCCCTCAGAAAGTAGAGTCCATATCCACACACAAAGTTACAAACAAACAGCTCCGACTCATCGACTCGCAGCGGATTGGCTCTCGATGAACCTTCCAATCCTTTTACTACATCACTCCTCACTCGTTATCCACTAGCACCCTCCCGCTTCCACTCCTGTGGAAATAAATGAAACCTTTCCTTTAAAGAATGTGTCTTCCGTCAGAATGGAGTGACATTAAAGCACTGCACTGCAGTTGGGAACTTGCCACCGGTGGTTGCAGAGGACAAGCGTTCAAACAAAAGCTCGATTCTGGGTCGCGATCGGGGGGTACCAAGAAGCGATACGGGCGAGAAATAAAGAGAATGCCCCGATCCCCGATCCCCGATCCGCCGTACAGGATGAAACCGAACGGGTACCATCGGCCAGTAGCGCCCGAGTGCATGAGAACGGGGGGCCTCGGGGATTCCGGGAGGAGCTGAGGCGACAGTCGATGAGCGCGAGCCGGCCAGGCTGTACCTGAGCGGCGCCTACGTGTAGGCCACCACTGATAGGAAAAGTGGGCTGGCAGGGATCTTTTTTCAAGGCTCGCATGACGCGGCCACCTTGGGGCTTGCCACGTCGCGGTAGACGCGTGTAGGCGCGTGCCCACCGCGCGCCGTCCACTTAAAATACTAACGGGCGAATGAGAACCTCTCGTTCGCCGCACCTTTTCGTTTCCATGGGCCCGGGGCATGTGGAGCCGTTCTTTCCGTGGCATCGTCTGGTCAACAAGCGGGGTTGCTCGTCAACGCCATGTACACTGTTCTGGCTATTCCAGGTTTAATTTCCCCTCCCTCGCCCACTGGTTCGTTGCGCTCTTGAGCGAAGCTTGCGTCATGTTTCCGTCTAATTTCGGCTCATGCATTGTTTATTCTGGACGGGCTGATTTTTTCCCTCTGGCCTTATCTGTCCTGCGTCCTCGACTTCCTGAAGGACGAATAAACAAACTCGTTTGGCTCCATACCCTTCCCTGAGATAATTATTAATAATAATAAATAAAAGTAGTAAGTGATGGGCGCTTTGAGCAGCCTTCTGACGCATATGAATAGCATCGTGAGTTTTTCTCCCCTCGGAATAGTATAGGCACCGATGACCATGATTGTGACAACGAGAATAGCGTTTCCCTTCACTCGAAGCCTACCAGAGTTGGATTTGAGGCCCATGAGAAGAACCCATCCAAGCTTTGAGTTGGTGTCCAAGGTTTCAAGCGGGTGTGGCCCTAGTCGTCCCCTTGTACGAAGTATCAATATTACGGGATAAACCTCACGGAAATAACAACCATTTGGCGCTATGGAAGAGCAGGAAAGGCATATGTTTGGGCATAGTCATTACAACGATTCATTTCAAATCGCTGTACGGCGTACCACGTTCACACTATTTTACTTTAGATTTTTTGTAGTGTTAGGACGAACAACTTATTTAGCAAAAAGACATAACGCCTGCATACAGCAGTAATCACATGGGTACGATGAGTCAAGGGTCCAATAGAAAATGTATGATATCATAGTAAAAAAACATAAAAAATTATACATCATATGCATTTAAAAAAAAACCTGTAAATATAAATGAAAAATTTCATGTGAGTACTTTAGCCTCATGTCTCATCACAAACATCAAATATCTGAATTTATCATTCAAAAATATAGAAATAGCAAGTTGTGTAAATACATTTGCGCTTAGATTAATATCACAATCACATAAGATCAATAAAATGTGAATCTATGAGCCGAAGAGCTTCCATTTCTGTGCACCAACTTCAAAAAGCTGCTTACTTGCCTATGCAACAAATCAATGACACTTAGAAGTATCACTATAAGTCATATCCACAATCAAAGCCTGTAAAACATAATCAAGATATCACCTCTAGAGTTTAGACCTTTAGATTAAAAAAAACGTGAAAGCTTATGTGGTAAATTCAAGATTCAAGAACAGCGTCCTACAATATATGAGGTTGAAATAAATTCATATTCAACATTTAATCATAGCTCATATTTATTTTCAGTCGTATATAGGTTTAGTTTTAAACGACTCAACATGTTCAACTAAACAATAAAATTGAGACGTTTTATCTTTTTTTCATTAAAAATAAGCAATTTTTCACAAAATTAGCAAAATTTTAGCTTCTGGCAAGATATTGAACTATATGTGTACAAATTTTAGTGTGATGATAAAGTACAATCATGAAAATATATTTGTAACTTAATTCATGATATTAGTTTCTATATTATTTTTAATACACGTGAATAATGAAGGATTTGTTAAACATTTCATAAAAAGCATTTCCTGAATTGAATATTAAAATAATTTACTACAAAATATATTTCAAAATATTCCAATTTTAAAATTAGGACATGATGTTAAAAAATATAAATTTTATAAGTTTTACGATGTATTTTTATGTTGAATAATATAAATTTTAAATTTTCTTTACTTTCATTTTTTATTTCTTAACTCAATATATTATGAGTTATTTCCATAACGTGTAAAACATAGAACTACAGATTAGTAGACACAGAAACACACATGCAGTCACACAAGGCGTCCCTCCGACATACACATGATTCATCAATCTTGAACTACAGTACATCCACAGGGACAAACACGTTACAATTGAAACTTTCAAGAGGGTGAGCTATGGCTCTCTCTCTCTATATATATATATATATATATAAAAATGGGTAGCATATTTTTCAATCCTCACCTAACTAGCTTTAATCCTAATCATAAGTTTTGTTAATTTAACCTTAGTTAACAGGCGATTTGAGTTAATACTAACATACTGCAAATATGCTTTCAATCGATGATGAAATTTTTGATGTATTTGGAAATTCATTTTGAAAATGAACTAAAATTTAATGACTTCAGAAACTAATACCTTGAAGTTTGTTTTTCTTTGAAGATTGAGCAGTTTTTATATATAATTTTTTTTATAGGATTCTATGCTTGTTATAAAATTGTTTATGACTGCTTATATTACCTTTTGAGGATGTCAAAAGAGTCCAAAATAACTTTTATAAGACAAGAGGAACGATATGTTAGATGTTTCAGACTTCATGTAGTCTAGTTCAAAAGACTCTCTTTATCCTTGTCTTGAACATGTCCAAAGTTCAGTTCTATAGCTTTGTATAACTTGAATACTGGAGGTTTGAATTTTTATATTTGCATATTCAAATTTGTGTTGTTCTTGGATGTATCAATCTCATTTTCTGTCTATCCAAAAAGATGAATGTTAGTATACTCTATAGTTGTATCGTGTGTAGGCTCAGTGATTTTAACGTCAAAACCATTAACTACATTATAAGGTGTTGATTATAACTATATCTTTATTTCAGTTTATTGCAAGTTACATCAATCCCTTTAAATACAATAAAATTCAAGTTCCATGTAGCGTAGAATACATCATATCGATCAAACATTATGGATATCTAGTGACACACAAATTAGCCATGTGATCTTAGGATGCATGTAATGTCTATGGTTCTTTACAATAAAATAAAATATAATAATCTAAACGGTAAATATGACTTTATTGATAATATTCCTAATACGAGGTCATTATACAGACTAAAAAACATACATATTAGACAACCAGATGACTCAAGAATGTTAAAATTGTAAATATAGTAATGTATTCGCCAAGAATTTAATTAGATAATACCAAATGTCACTAGAGTATCATGAGAAAGGCAGTGAGTAGAATTGCAATTCCCCGTGAGCATATAAGAAGAGAAAATAAGAGCCTTAGAGAAAAAAACTTTTCTCAACATGCACTCCGAACATGAGTAGACCCTCTCATTTGCAAAACGAAAAGTATGTGAATACAGTAACCGCGATATTGACTTGTTTTCTGCGAACAAATCAATGTGTACAGTTTAATCTGTTGTACGTCATGTAAAATAGGAATATCTTCGGAAATCACTCTATAAATTATGTACGTTAACAATACATTTCACACTGGGAACAGGGGCCAGCGAAAAACGATTGACTCGTAACGGTCAGGAATGAAAAGCTTAAAGCCGGGGTAGTAACAAAATCACTCTACGAGACGAGAGTAGAGGGTAGGCTTCAGACCATCCGCCGCATGTGAATGGTTCGATGACGAGCTTGCAAACCGCGGATTGGTCTGATTTTCTGCCTTGTACGATTTGATGGTTTCTTACCATCATTTTGGCTATCCACTTGGTCCCGTTAGTACCTTGGGTTGGCATGATGGAAAAGAGCAACTTCCTCCAGCCCTATACAAATATATATATGTACATAATTTAAATACACTGGGCGTACACACTGGGGCCTTCTTTTTTTCCTTTATTATGGAGCGTATTTTGCTTTCCATATCCATTCCATGGGTCTTCCCACCTCTTTTCTTTATCCACTTGACCTCATACTCCATCAAATGACTTTATATTGTACCAAATATGCCGTTTAGCATTGGCAGGCGCTTTTATTTTTTGATCTCTGCACCAAGATGGAGTGAGGCTCGGTGTTGCAGAGCAGGGCATTTTGTCTGTGACCCCCTTTTTTTTTCTTTTCTTTCTGTCTTTATTTATTCCCTATGTCATTCTGTTTCATTCTTATCCTAGGATTATGTCTGACTTGATGGAGTCTTTCCATTCCTTTGTTGTTTTCCGTGATATATATAATCAGCACGTTTAAGCACACCATCCCTCTGGAGTATTTTCCTTTTATTGAATGAAGTTTTGTTCCCTTTCATCTATAATTGATTATATGAAGGATACTGTAAATGTGACTCATGTCATATCCACATGCACTCGGGCGATAAGGTGAAGAGACTCTCTTTTTATCTGCTCAGAAACATCAGGTTTTTAACACACGACTATAATCTCAGCATGTGATGGTTATATATTTAGAAATTGTCGTGGTCAGACGTGAAGGATGCGCGAAAAAAACGAAGGAAAATGGTGTACGTATATCCATCCAGCACAGAATCCGAAGAGAATGAAATGTATATCGAGAATGCAAGCAAGACCTCTTCGTCACAGATTTTGTGATGGACATTTTGCTCGTTGATAACCTCCAATAATTCAAGAAATCTGCACAACTCGACTCGTGGTCTCGTTGCCGCGAGGAAGGCGTCCAATCGGGATTGGGCAAATTCCACAGTCTCCATCATTGGCTCAATCAGCACCGATCCGAAGTGAACCAGACGACACATTCTGGCGGTTGGTGGTATGAAAGCAGAGTACCTGACAATCCAATGGCTGATGAAGCTGCCATAGCTGCCATTCGATCATCGTGAGCTCTGTGCGTGTTTGCTGCATGAATTGGAGGCGCTCAGCTCCGCCCCCGACCCGCCATCGCTCCCTCCACTCGAACCCTCTCTCTCGACGTCCATCTCGCCGCAATCGGGCACTCTCTATCCACATGGACATGACATGACATGGGATGGGATGGGATGTGTCAGAACCGAATCTGAACTTATCTGCAGCAGCCAGTAAGTATCGGATTCGGCCAGGGGGTAAAAATGGCCGATCATAACGCACAAAACCCTAAATCGGATCTTCAGATTCCCCGGAAGGAAGGAAGGGAATACCAGACTCCGCCCGCGCGGTAAAACGATAAAAACATGTCACAGGCGCCGTAAAACGGAGGAACACCGGAGTCCGGATTTCACCACACTCGTAAAATGCTGCAGGTCCTGCTGCGCGGGGGCCGTCGGATGGAGAGAGTTCGACGGTAGAGATGGGTTTCCTACGAGACGGGCAAGTGGGCGGAAGAGAGTCGTCGGATGGGGTGAATCGGAGGCCCAAGCGGTAAAGAAGTGAGATTCATGTACGTGGCAAGGCTCAACGGAGGGGAGAAACGTAGAGGGCAGGGGTCGGGAGCCGGGGAAATCCGACGTGGACCTAGTTTACACGTGGAGGCTCGCTCGAGGGCTGGGGTATGTGCGGGGCGCGTGCTCCCTGACCTTTCTCGAGCGCAACCCCTATCTCTACCCATTGGCATTTACAAGGAAGTCCTCGCTGCCTCTCAGTCCTCATTCTTTGCTCTCCCCTTCTCGCTCTCTCAGTCTCCACTCTGTCCCCGCGCCTCCCTCCGCCTTCACCTGCATCGCCTCATCGCATTCGAGCGCGTGCTCGCCCCGCGCCCGCCACGACTTTTCAAGAAGAAGAAGAAGAAGCAGAACAGCGTCGTCGAGATCTCATTTCATTCTCTCGCGGTTCTTGCGCTTTTGCGAAGCGTCGAGTGATCAATTTTGCCGCCATGGCTCTCAGAGTGGCCCCTTGCTCCGTCTCCATCGCGGCGGGCTCGCTGGCCTGCGTCACCGGTGGCAATGCCAGCCAGGCCCGTCAAGGGCGTTTAAGCTTTGATGCCGTTTCGATCGCCAGGCCCGCGAGGTCGGTCGCAGTGCGCGCGGCGGAATCGAACGTCGATCAGAAGACGCTCTCGGGAGTGGTTTTTGAGCCCTTCAGAGAGGTTCAGAGCGATGCGTTTCTGCTGCCCTCCGAGTCTAACAAGTCTCTGGCCCGCCAGCGATTTGACCAGTCTTGCGAGTCTGCTATCAACGACCAGATCAAGTGAGTTAGCTCGAGGTTCGCGTCGGTGGCGCGAAGCAGCGTTACTTCTTGAATGAGTGCACGGCGGAAAATTTTTCGGCGGTGGTTTCGTTTGTTGGGTGCGAGTGTGCTCATTATGTGTTTTTGGTGTTTTGATTCAGTGTGGAGTACAACGTGTCGTACATCTACCATGCTCTGTTCGCGTACTTCGATCGTGACAATGTCGCTCTTCCAGGCTTCGCCAAGTGAGTGTTTCTTCTGATTTCTTATTCCGAAATGGCTGGATTAATCACCAAGTTCTGTTTCTCGGATAATTACTTCTCCGATAAATCAATGTGACTTCATTTGCTAACCCACTAATGATTTGACGGATGCGTTTCCAGGTATTTCAAGGAGGCCAGTGAGGAGGAAAGGGAGCATGCAGAGAAGCTGATGACGTACCAGGTATGAACTTTCTGCGCCGAGTTCTTTGGTCATTTACTTCGTTGAGTTAGTCTTCTGGCGTGCTCAGTTTTAAAGTGATGTGTGGAGCATCTGTGTAGTATATCATTTGGGATTACCTGTGTGCCTTAATAATAGTTTTTCCTGCAGACGGGAGTTGTTTCGGTGATACGCGTTTCTGCTGTCTAACTTACTTTCTTCAGCTTCCAGTTCCGCGTTGTATATATCGGTCGTGTATCTGTGAATGAATTTTGTACTTGTCGTCGTTGCGCAGAACAAGAGAGGTGGCAGGGTGAAATTGAACACCATAGTCAACCCTATCAGTGAGTTTGACAACAGTGAGAAGGGTGACGCGCTTCATGGTGAGAGCTGTTGCATTGAACCTTTAAGTATCCGATTGGTGTAAAATGTACAGTTGTATCTGAACAATGTGTAATGTGTAACACCAGTCTGACAATTTTCATGTTCGTCGCTCAGCTATGGAGCTTGCCCTCTCCCTGGAGAAGTTGACCATGGAGAAGCTTTACTGCCTCCACAAGGTTAGTTGCTATTCTTATGTTTATTCGAAGTTCTCTCACTGTGTATATCGGAAATCCATCGTACATACTGTCCCCATATCTTGAAGTCTCACCGAGTTATGTCAACGTGTCCAGGTAGCTGAGGACGCACACGACGTTCAGCTCACAGACTACATCGAGAGCGAGTTTCTCTCGGAGCAGGTAAGCCGTGGATTCGCAGAGCCTTGGACAAATTACAGTAGCGGACGTAGAAGCATGAATCTCTTTTTGTAGCCCGGAATGGATTGTCGACGTTTTGGTGGACGAGGCCTTTTTGAAATTACTGAAGAAAAGCCGACTGTTGGTTCGGCTTGGAGGAATTCTTTCTTATCTAGTTTTGATTTGTATCTTACTCCAGGTTGAGGCGATCAAGAAAGTATCGGAGTACGTAGCTCAACTGAGAAGAATCGGCATGGATGGTCACGGTAAGATGTCGATCTGCTTTTTATCTTCAATTTGTCTCTTATCTTCGTTTGCCAAATCTCCAAGCTGACGTGGGGAGGAAATATGGACTGTTTGCCTTTTGAGGCAGGAATCGCAACGCGTAAATACTTGGAAAGATACACGTAGAAGCTCTATGGCATGTTTTTGCAATGACCTGACATGTGGCCATTTGAACATCTGTTATTTATTGCAGGTATCTACCACTTCGACCGCATTCTCGGCGAGGAAGGTGCCTAGGATCAAGGTCTAGTGTGGTATACTCGTACGCGTAATAGGCCTGTAGAGTAAGTCAGAGGTGCAGAGCTTGGTTCTTAGCTGTCTCCAGCTATTTTAGTATAGGAACACAGCCTTTTGTTTCACAATCACGTTCTAGATTATTTTGGCGTAGTTTGTACAATGGTAGGGAATTGACCACCGTGACATCACTTTTTGAGAGATGGGTGCTGTGCTACACATCCGCTGTAAAGAAATGGCAATTAATGTCAGTTATAATGAGGAATTTTATTTTCTTTTATATAAAGGGAGTTTAAGATGGTAACAATTGTGATTCGACTTCTTTGATCTCGGATGGGTCATATTCGACGTGCATTGGCTTTACTTCCTATGTTGGAGTTAATCGAGTATCCAAGGAGATACTGACGGCAGAAATGTTCTACGGACGAACGTCTGTAAGCGTCTGTCGTACTCACTGTATCTGAAGTCATTATTGCTCGCACAATTTTCTGTGTTTCATCACCTGTGGATCTTAGCGCAGAAGAATGTGACTGGAAATGAATAATAGACCAACTGCAGGTTCTTTACCGTAGGCTTTTTTAAAAAAATTAGTTCGTTTTGAAACTATGAAGTCAAACATAGAAGTTGGTTTGTGTAGCAAATGGTCGTCTCAGCCTACAAATTCATCCGCATTGATGTCGATTGTGCGGATTACATATGATGTAATCAACTTATCTCCATAACATGTATCTTGAGTGTTGCAAGTGAGTCCACGGCTGTGACACTTGGAACGGAAAATATGTTATTCCTCTGTTCTGCTTCAAATGTAGCGAGACGCTGTCACCGAAGGTAAGAACAATAAGACGCGTGTATGAATTATGGAATCATATATGCATGCTTTGATCGTTCTTTCACTGCAAGATCCTCTGCGAAATGCTCTATTCTGAGAATTTACCGTGTCAAATCTTGCGAGGTTAATATGTGACTTCCTATTGATAGTAACGTTGTCAGTCATGGTTAAAACGTAATGATTCGGGAAGAATATGTGTAACGTACAACTTTGTCCTGTTTGCCATCACGTACACAAGCTCCTACTTGGCCGCGACCGCAGCAAGTACCATACACAGCATGTCCTTATTCCAGATCTGCAGCGAATAAATCACAGAAAAGTACTTTTTAACGCCCCGCTGAAATCGAGCGCGGCGAGAGACAAATAAAGTAGACACTACATTCCATTGCACTAAGCATGATAGTTTCGAAACATGTAAGAAAACCTCGATCAGCCTCAGTTCAGCTGGAACATCTCATGGCTTCAAAGCAAGACACAGATTTCCTGGAACAGTCCTCAAACCACGATACTCGGCGGATTTAACACACGATACTCATTGAAATCTTGCCCTGCCTCCAGAGACCAAGCCTCAAGACCCTCTTACTACTCACACAGGATGCCCATGTTCGTGATGCCAACGCATCAACTCGAGTGCTCACCCCTTTTGAAGCCCGACACTATTTCCTCCCAACAAACATGACTGTCAGCTACCTTCCAAGCGCTCCATGTCCTATCCTGTGAGTATTATGGCCCACCGCCGCCCCCGACGAAGCAGAGACGTATTATCCCCATCTCGTCGTCGAGAAGTTTCCATCAGAGCGAGCCGTAAAAGTAGTGAGCATGGGTGGGGTCGGCACCAGATCTCGTGCCTCTCGTCAGATTGTCTGCGTCAGAGCTGGTGAGCTAGATCCCCTGATTAATCATGACTGAGCGAAAGGTGTCATCGTGCCCGAGCATAATCCCGTCCGTGTTACTTTCCTATTCCACTCATTTTCTAATCTGCATACCAAGAACGAAGCCTCGGTCCTCTCGGCTCCTCTGGATCGTGCTGTCTAGTGCATGGATCATGCCTCGAGCTAGAATCTCTCGACCTTGCCGATCATGTCGGAAAATGCTTAATAATGATTGAAAATGCTTCCCACTCGAATCGTCCATGGCCAGGGAGAGAGAGCCGGTCTCTTGGAGCCAAATGTGCAGGAATCAGCTCCGAGGCGTGTAACTGTTTCCTTGGTGGATCGGTTCATGAAGAGATTCCTGGAGCCAAGCGTCGAGTATATATAATCCACACACTCTCGTCTCTCATTCATTCGTCACTGCCTTGGAATTCATCAGATGCTCTCATCTACTGGCTTGTTGCTTTCTCTAATCGACCAGACCCCGTACCCACAAGCGAAATGCATGCACGACGCTCCAGCTCAGTCGGGCTATGGGGCGTTCTGATTGACTGTGGAACGTAAGGCTCACGATGGCGTTACGGAGTCTTGCAAATCCAACTGTAAAAGCAGAACGCCTGTGGAGCATTTCGCTTACTGGGTAGTGGTTTCTACTGAACTTGGGGGAAGGCAAATACTCGGCGTCAGCTTCAGGTTGTAAACCGTGAAATTCTTGCTGCTCTAGTACCTCTTCGAAGTCATGTTAGCTGGAACGTGTGGAAGACGAATGGATTTTGGCATATTGAGGTTTCACTTCTTTCCAAATTGTCCAAAGATCAATTAAAGGCCCATGAAGACGATCAAGAGAGTTTTGTGAACAATGAGTTTCGATCTGCAGGTGTGCCTAGAAGTAGTGACGAAGATTGAATTTTCAGACTTTGGACTCTCGAGGTTTCAGCACGCAGAAACACAAAATGCGCTTGAATGAATTAGACAACGAAGTAACATCGGCTGTCCTCACAAGCATTTGCTGCCTGTCAGTAACGCAGTCTGTTCTCGTGCCCTGTCGGAGCGTGTTACAAACACATTCTTTGTTAAACTCTCGCACAGTCTACTGTCTACTAACATGTTTGCTTCTTAGAACGAGGGTGCATTATTCCTGAAAGTCATACCTGCTCCTCATGAGTTCGACAGAGGCAACTGAAACGAACTGGAAGGGGGTTCTAAAGATTAGGTGTCGGAATCTGAAACTTCCAAGTTTGAGAACAGCATTTACTCGTCAATCTCTTATGTTTAGTTCAGCTTCTGAAGTTTTTAGTAACACTTCCAAGGTTTCAATACAGTCGTTGCCGGGAAGAGAGCCACAAGTTGCTCACTTCCGAACGAGAATCTCGTGGGGAGAGAAGATCCAGGAAGACTTCCCACAGTTAAGGAGCCCGTCCAAATTTTGTGATCTTCAAACGTACCTTGACAAAACTCGTTGCAAGTCCACGAACTTCCAATCGGAACTCCAGTGTTAAATACACTATTACTGACATCGTCAGATGGTATGAGGATGTCAGTGATTCAGAGATTTGACAAGACTGACAATGAACGTCATGTGTTGCTGTGTTACATGGAGACAGAAAGTCAGCTGATTTAAAGTGTTGATACAAGATTTGGCAGTGTATAATCTGGAGTTACTGACCGGTAAATCATTAGAATCTTCATAAAATTCTCTTCATCGTCTGCCTTTTAATTGATCTTTGGCCAGTTTCAGAAGAAAGAAACCTCGATATTTCAAAATCCATTCATGTCATTAAAGAGAGTTCCAAACCTTCAACTCGATATTGTGTTTTCACATCCCCAAATCCTCTGCGAAGTCCGTATTCATCTCAAGGCATGTTCTCATAATTCAAGTGTATATGGATTCCACTTGAATTGAAGTGGATCTATATCTATTAAGCAATCTAGAACCGATTCGTTTGACCTTTGGCTTTGCTGCTCCTGTAGATTTGACTCTATTGGCTTGAACGCTACGACCTAGTAGATTTCAGAGTAATATTTCAAGGTCTTTCGAGTAAAAATAGTTGGTATTATATTAGATATGAGAGATAATATTTCTTGGTTTTTCGAGTACAAATTGTTGATTTTATACGTACGGTTCTCTTGTCATGTCAACCATATTGAGGTTACACGTGGTAAGAGTAACCTACTTAGGTAAGTTGCGATTTATCCTCATGGCTATATTTCTCTGGTTAGTGAGTATGTAGGTTTTCAATATACACTCTCAAGCACAGAGAACTTCTCATGCTTGCTTGTGGACGTAGCCTATCGATCGATTACGTATATTTGGAATTAAGTTCGGCGTCCTATGGATGTCATGGTTGAAATCAATACCCACAATTGACATAACAACATTGTGATCAGTCACTAATGACAGTCTCACCTTCCCTCTCTAGAGAATGTGGGAGTCTTATTTCATTCTCAAGTACAGCATACTCTAGCCTAAGTACACATCCGTTTAAGGAAGCATTGTTTTCCCTAGATTACGTTACTTTTTAAAAGATTCAAACGACTCCCTAAGATCATTGATTATTTACTCTCCCTCTTCTATAACTCATGTTTTACATCTTTTTCTACCTCTTCTTCAACTTCTGAGTAGAGCGATTGATAATCTACATCAACTTGTTTATAAAGTGACTCAAATTCTTTAATTAAAATATATTAGTATTTCTACATCCAAATATTACACATGAGAAGTCATTGTACATTTATTCTTCCACGATCTACATCATCTCTATAAGCTCTTCAATTCAAAACTAAGTTTGCAAGTTATTCATTGTATGCATCTCCAACATTAAAAAATTATTCAATCTCATCTTGCCCACCAGAATGATTTAAAGTTAAGATAGCTTGAGCGACTATCAAAATTTAAATTCTCAAACTTGTTCTCTGCTTATTTATTAATAATTTCATTATTTTTTATGTGAAAAAATGAATTTTGCTAAAGGTTTGTGATAGAAAATTGTCAAGCTTCTTTGATATAACTTGCAACCTTAAACATGTGAGCTAGAAAAATGTATGTAACTTGTAATCTTTTCCCCTACATTTTCTTTTGAACTTTTGTCTTCTCATTCATTTATATAAATCAATATAGTTCTTAAGATAAAAACATTTGAATCTCTTATTCAAAGCTGTGATCATGATTGTATCACAAGACCGTAACTAACTTATGCAATTTGAAGAAAAGAAGACAACACTCATTTTGTTGGGTTAAAAGTACTGAAAGTGTTTGATTGAAAGTATTCTTCTTCTTAGGATTAAAATATGTTAGATTATTGTGGGCTGTAGTTAATTATGAGAATTTAGGGTCAGTCGGTTGTGACTCAAACTCTTGTTACGGCTATACTACTTAGGGCAACGAGCAAACTCGTCATGCTAAACACTTTCACTAAAATTGTGAGATGTATTTGCGTAAGTAATCTTTAGGCAAATCAAGTTACACTTTTCGTGATTCTTTCTTCTCAGATGGTTAATTGTGTGTTATTGAGCTTCATGTATTACAAGACTCTTATTAACTTATGCAATCGAAGGAAAAAATACAATATTTATATGATTGCGATCAAAAGACTTAAAATATATGAGATTATTGTTAGTCAAAAAATTAGACGTCCAATTTATTCACTTTTTGAGAAAAAACACTTTGTTAAATCACATCATGTTTTCACATCCATTCAAACTTCATCAAAATATTAAACAAAACATTCACAATTCTTGATACATATCATGTTTTCACATCCATCCAAGTAATATTTGCGCATCATGGTGTTTCTATTGAGATTCAATATGTAAGACTAAAGATCAAACGCGTATGTTATTTGAAAATAAAAGACAACTTTTAAAATAAGAAATATCTAGAATAAATTATTTTTTTATATATTTTTCACAAATGAATACAAAGAAAAAAGCTTATTAACTCTAGCATACATTCCACTACTAGTAGATTGATGATTTGACAATAATCATAGCAAGCACTCATATTAATGACGTATCAATGTCAACTAGGACTTACACTCAACTCATCAAGCACACACATTGCTAACGTGACGATTACAATTTGTTTACTACAATGTTACCAAAATTTTATTTTAAAAAACATTAAATTTTTTTCTAATTAACTATAGATTATTACAAATCTCTATTATTTTATAATACGACGAGCTTGTTGCATTTTAAACAACGTTAAACATCAGTTCAACATACTTTATCGTTATTTGAACAATCTTCTTGCTATACATGTGTTCAAATTTTTTTCTATTAAAGGTGCATTAGTTTTAATTGTAACTTGCATCCAAGTTAATTCATATAATGAAAATTTTTTGCCATTCAATCATATTGTGTATATTAAAATATATATGGTTCAAATATGTTTCTTGAATGTATTTTTTACCTCAAATGATTCATGATCATCTATTAATTTCATAAACAAGATAATGTTGGTTATTGTGCATGAATCTTTAATTTTACAATAAAGATTCATGCACAATAATCAACTATTAAGTCCAAAAAAATAGATTTTTCCATCTAAATACGCAACTTGAACATGGAAAAATTATTACAAATTTCACTAATATGTGCGCATTAAATTTTTTAAAAAAACTTTTTTAATATATGCAATATCAAATAATAATTTTTAATAATTGCTTTATGAGTTTGAGTGATGTGATATCATAGCGAAGCTAAACAAAAGATGTAAGCATCATTATGTAGTTAGTACGAAAGTTGTACTTTCTTAAAATGAAGATATACTTACATTGTAATCAATTATCATAATCAACAAAATATCAACATCAACAATTTATACGCTTGGTAATTTGAAAATAAATGTGTTAGTTGACAACGACACGTAAGTGTTTTGTAAGTTTGTTAAGTAAAGATTGTTTGTTTTAGTTGAAAACAACATGTTAGTAATCAATGTGCTCTATAGTATTATCCACCGTGTCATCACACTTGTAGTGAAATGTATAATATGGATGAAATATTATTTTTATTTATAACATTATTATTTTGTTCTTGTTGGTAAGTGTTGTTGACACAATATTCACACAAAACGGATTTTAGAATTGAGTAACATTTCAAACCAACATACTAACAAAGCTGAAACAAATTGAAAATTCAAGAATCAAAATATGAATCATGAAAGCAATGATACAATACAATTGATGTATAAGGTAATGAATGACAATGATGTGAGACTATATATGTATATATATATATATATATATATTTCAAGCAAGTTAAAGATACTGCCAACGCTACTAGAACTTTAAGTTGTATAAAAGAGATGGTTTGATCGTTGAGGCACCGTTATCTCCATCAAAGTTCTTAAATAGATTGTGGTTATGTCATGTTCGTGACACTTAGTTGTCAAGTTATTATCATATTTGCTAATATTCCTAAGTTGGTTGTGTATGTTATATCGGTGACAATAAGAAATATACAAGAGAGAATGAAATCATTATATATATCTTTCATCTTTAGAGTTGTGTTTCAATAAAAAAATCTATTTTTAAAAATTTCTAGCATTACAATGATATTAGATATACTTTTTTTCTTTTTTTGAATGTGAAATAGCTCTCCTAGATTAGCAAGAATGTGATGATATCATATAATTCTGGATTTTATATAGTGGTTGAGAAAGTTCATTCATATGCATGAAGAGAAGAGTGGAAGAAAGAAAATTTGTAATTTGCACATTTTGAAATCTTTTGGAAGATTTTCAATGTTGCAATGATTCATCTTCGTTTATGTGAAAAAGAATTTATGATTAGATATATGAAGTGATATAATGAAGTGCAAATTTTATGACTAGAGTGATGGAATCTATAGTAACATTGAAATTTTCATTTGCTAATTATGAAAAAATTTGATATTGTATCGTATACATTGTATATTGAATGTTCAATGAATTTTAATTGTGAATTATTTGTCCTAGTTAGATTCAACACATATGTAGATTTAGTGTATTTTTACTTTCTAACGTTACTATTCATCAATTGATCTCTTGTTTGCTTGAATAAGATTTAAAAGTTGAATTGGACTATCTATCTATGTTGTACTTGCTCAAATTCTATGCTTGTTACTTTCGAGTATAAGACTTTGACCAATTTTTGATGAAACTGAAAATAATATAATTTAAAATTGTGCCATTAACAAAATTTACTTTTTAAAACTTTATAAAAAATCATTAGCTTGTCAATAAAATGTTTGAATAAATCAATAAGATTTGAAAATCTAATCATTATAAAATAAACAATCTCAATATTTTATACTTATCTCATCATGAATATTGAATCTACATGTATAAATGTGATTGTTTAATTATTAAAAACATTCACACAACAAATATATCATGAAACTCAAATTCCAAAAAAACAACATAGTATTAAATATAAATGACAGTATATATTATGAAAATAATTAAATATCATATATATCTAAATAATATTTTCATTATTATAAGATATACACATCTGATAGAGATAATTATATATACATACTTTTAATTCACTATAGCACATGAAATCATTTTGTAATTTACAATATAGTATGGATTGACAAAAGTGGAAACAATCAACTAATAATTTTTCATTTTTTTACCTATATCGAGGGTTTGAAAAGTATCACTTGCAACATTGAAAATTATTTATAATCAAACTTTATCATGTAAGTTACATCATGCATTGAAATATTTGTTCATCATACATTTTCTCGTCATAAAATTTCAAAGTTGCTAATGTATAGATCATAGTATGTATTTATCAATTTTCATCCATTGCAAATAATATCTTACATGTACTTTTACATTGTTTTACTCATCAAACAAGTATTCATAAAAGCTAATAGTTAATGTCCTTGCACTAATAAAAAATCAATTCTGCACATTTATTATCTAATAAATTCAATTTTCTTATCAAATTATGAATCAAAGTAAAATTCAAAAAAATTATAATTGAGTATTACTTTACTCCATATTTTTTTAAAAACTTAATATCATAAAAAAATTCAAATGAAATTTTGTATCTGTTATAAAGTCTAAAGAATACGAAGTTATCTGTTATTGTTTATATTTTTTCAAAATTATGAAAATAATATTAAATATTTTATATATACTGATTGATCAAAATCAAGATTATTAAATGGAACATTTGAGCATAGCGGAGATGTGTCTCGATCGTATATTTCTAAGTTAAACTCTCATACTCTCAGATGTCAACGATCTACATGGCCACGGAGCTGGACTAGAATCATGAGACAAAAAGAGAAGTAAAGGATCGGAACTCAAAAGGAAAGGATCGGGACTCAAGCAGGTTGCGCAAACTGGGCCCAGGAAAGAGCAAATCAGAGTTCTGATCGAGGCGAATAATCGCACTCAAGTGGAGGGCGGACAAGATCCGACGAGGAAAAGAAAAGAGAAGAAATAAAAATCCGCGGGTCGTCGGCTGGCCCGAACTGGACACGACGGGCAAAGCGAAAGCACAGCGAGCGAGTTCGCGAGAGCAGCGGAAAGCTCGCGAGCGGGCCGAAGGCGGGGCCGCGGAGTGAACCATCTCCCGCCTCTCGGCGTCGTTGAATTGCGCCAACGTGTACGAAGAGTCCAGGACCGGCCCACGAATCAGCAGCACACGAGGATTGAGACACAGACAGAGGCGGAGAGAAAGAATCAAAGAACCTCGTCCGCCTTCCGAGTCCATCGTCGTCTGAGCCTCCGTCGCTTGTCCCGTGCATTTGTCACTCGACGTTTCTGTCACTCCGCTCGCAGCACACCAGGCCACGCCGGGCCTCGTGGTATCAGCAGCAGCAGGATCAGCAGCGGGGAGAAGGACAAGTGCGGTTCTTGTGAGTCTCCGTTTCTACGCGAGAGGGGTGGAGAGTGCCAGGTGAGTTTCAGACTTCGCTCTCCAGGAGTTCATCCTTTCGCTATCTGTGTGCAATGTGTGGAGGCGTAATGTTTCATGGGTTTAGTTTTTTCTGTATGTGTGGTTGTCCAAATTTGATTTGAGATAATTAAACTCGATGAACGAGGACACTAGTAGATTGGTGCCCTTCGCTCTGCAACTTCTGTTTTCATCGTCACTTTTTTCCTTAAATTTATTGTTTACTTTCTGTAAACAAAAACTTCCCCGGCCGCCAAATTTATATTTTTTCTTACTTCTTCCATTCTGAATCTTTTGAAGGTTGCATTAAAATAGAAGTTTATGCCATGCCTTTCACAAAGCGTATAGACCAGAATTAAAGGCTCAGTTGGAGTCCTTCGTTTATACAGCAGTTTTTCCTGGTAGATGGGTTTCAGTGAACTGGTGGAACAGTGAGGGCCAGCTGTTCTCTTGAAGAGGGAAGTTCCTTTTAGAATGAGGATGAGCTTTTTCTGAATTGTAGCATGGCCGTTGTGCATCAGAGTCGCTCTAGGGATCGTCGAGACGTGGTTTTGAGCTGGAAGCACCTACTAGTGAAGTGTGTTAGTTCGGAGAGAAGATATTTGCAGAGGATGAAAGGTAAGGGAGTTTTTTTGGCTCTCTCGGATACTTAAGTTCAATTCATGTCTTGCGTGGGGAATATATCTTCAATTGTAAAAATAATATTGGCTGTTACAGCCATGAGACCTCTAGCTTCTGGTAATATGTATCCACCTGGCAGGTGCCGCCAGTTCTGGAACTGCAGGTTAGAAAGGTGCAAGGAAGGAATGATAGAAATTAAGTTCCACATTTTTTGTTCAAGCGCGGCTTTAGGATATATGACTTCTTTGAGCAATTTAGAGGAAGTCTCTGTAGTTTTAGAGATCCTTATATTTTTTTTAAAATATTGACGGTCATTTTTTTGATCAGAACTTCCAAAGTTTGTGAGCTCGCAAATTGAAGTACTGCGACGGGAATCATACTGCTGTAAAGTCCAATAACACCCGTGTCGGAGGGAGTTGTGAGAAGCAGGAAGTATGTCGCGCGTTATTTCTTGCGGAAGTATTGATAGGCTTGAAGTTGAAAATTTCAAGTCTTACAAAGGTCACCAAGTAATCGGACCTTTCAGAAACTTCACAGCAATTATCGGACCGAATGGTGCCGGTAAGTCGAACCTTATGGATGCCATTAGCTTCGTTCTCGGAGTCCGATCAATGCAGCTGCGAGGAGCGCAACTTAAGGATCTCATCTATGCGTTTGATGACCGTGAAAGAGAACAGAAGGGGAGAAAGGCCTTTGTCAAGCTTGTGTACCTGACAGGTGCGAAGGAAGAGCTCCACTTCACTAGGACGATAACAAGCGCAGGAACAAGCGAGTACAGAATTGACAACAGAACAGTATCATGGGATGATTACAATGCGAAAATGAAATCTCTTGGCATATTAGTGAAGGCACGGAATTTTCTTGTCTTCCAGGTGAGTGCGTTCTTGATGATTCCAGGATTATATTTTACTGACCTTTCAGCTTGCTTTCTATTTGTTCAAATAATATGTCTATTACGACATTTCTGAAGGCAAGTTAGACTTTATAAAGCGTAGAACATCTATATCTGTAGGATGCCAATTCGTCATCGACTTTGGCCAGGAACCTTTCACTCGCCAAAAAATTCGAAGTTTACTAAATATGGTTTTTTCATCCTGATCAGGGGGACGTGGAATCTATCGCATCAAAAAACCCGAAGGAACTCACTGCTCTTTTTGAGCAGATATCAGGTTCCGAAGATTACAAAAAAGCTTATGAAGAGTTGGAAGAGCAAAAAGCTCGCGCTGAAGAAAATCAGGTCGGGAAGTACCAAAAGAAGCGAACTATGGGTGCGGAAAGGAAACAGAAGAAGGAACAGAAAGAAGAGGCCGAGAAGCATTTGAGATTACAGGGCGAATTGGTAAGCCGTTTTCTTCTTCGAGAATGTGTCGCCACGCTTGCATATGGACAGCAAATGAAAACTTTCTTCGCTAGGGTTACGCTAGTCATAGAACAGACGTTGACGGAAGTCTGGTGCAATCAATATCAATTCTGGTGCAAAATTGACAGTCCATTTTCGATCCGAGTATCAAATTTAAGCAGATTGTCAGTGCTTCGTGGTTTCTGTCGACAGTATAGAAAAGCTTTCCCTCGTTCAAGAGGCCGGGGAAGTTTTCACGAAGTTGTTATTAAGTAATACAGTTCCTGTCTGACATCGAACCGTTTCTTTCCCTATGTTCAGAAAGCTCTTAAGACAGAGTACTTCTTGTGGCAACTCTTTAGTATTGAGAAGTCTATTGAGACAACCAAAGCAGAACTTGAAGTGGACAACGAAAATTTGATGGAGCTGAGTAGAGCGCAAGATAAGCTGGAAGGTGAGATCAGGGAGAAGAAGAAGGAGCAAGCTGTATACACCAAAGAATCTCTTCTGTGTGAAAAGAAAATGACTAAAAAGAAATTCGAGCTAGACAAGAAGGTACCTTTCCATGATTCATTTCTACGCTGTAAGTATCCGTGTTGAGAATCTAAGTAGCTCTGAAGCTTTCCATGTTGGGGAGATTTTTGTTTTCACTTGTGAGAACGTTTAGTTGTTTTTGAACTAAACCCTAAACGGAAGCCCTCGCTGTTTGCAGCATCCAGAGATTTTGAAGCTGAAGGAAGAAATAACGAGGATCAAGCAGAAAATTAAGGCCTGTGAGAAAGATCTTGAGAAGAAGAAGGAAGAGCAGAAGAAGCAAGGCAAGGAGATTGCTAAGTTGCAGAGAGATTTGCAGGATGTGACTGCATCCCTGGATGAGCTCAACGAACAACAAGACAAGGAAGGAGGAAACCGTTTGCATCTGGCTGAAAGCCAACTTCATGAGTATAACAGAATGTAAGAGTACGAGCACCCATACCATCAATGTCTCGATATACAGGAACACTGCTCAAGGAGTGCCTGAGAGTTTTGTTCTGAAATTTGGTCTCACATTAGGTCCTAGACTTCGTACGTGTCATCCGTATCTCATATTTTGTATCGTTGATGGGCCGGCAGAAAGGAAGAAGCAGGTGCCAGAACTGTGAAGCTCAAGCAGGACTTGGAAGTTCATGATCGTCAACAACAAGCTGATGAAGAAGCCCAGAAGAATCTTGAAGCGAATTTACAACAACTAACAAACAGACAACAGCAGCTTGTGAACGAGGAAACTGAGGCTCATGGTCGCATGCGAAGGCTTTTGGAGTCTATATCGAAAAACAATGCAGACCTTGTGCAATCACAATCCGAACTCAGTCAAATGCAAGACAAGCATCGCAAATCAAAGTAAGAACGAAGACATAGCATTTTTGTTCCAGCCTTTAAAAAGGTTACTCAGCAGCTGATACCTTGGTCGTGCCACCTGAGCAGGACACGATATGAGAGCTTGAAAGCCAAAGTTGATGAGCTGGAAGTCCAGCTCCGTGAGCTGAAAGCAGACAAACGCGAAAGCGAAAGGGATGCCAAAGTATCCGAAGCCGTTGAAAGTCTCAAGCGCCTGTTTCCTGGTGTTCATGGACGAATGACCGATCTGTGCAGACCTACCCAAAAGAAGTATAATCTTGCCGTTACCGTAGCCATGGGAAAATTCATGGATGCTGTGATTGTGGAGGATGACAACACTGGTAAAGAGTGTATCAAGGTATGCACTATCTATGCTGAAACCTGGAGCTGATCATATTGTATGTTTATTCATGGAGTCATTCATTTGTATTATTGCACCGAATCTTCGTGACTTTTGTTGGCATGCATGAACGATCTAAATGAAAGAGCATATGTCCTGAACATTATCTGTAATCTATAAATTTGAATGGATTACTCCATGGGTTTCTGCTACACAGTCTCTCACTGCTTCAAAGTTTCCTCCTATTCCATCAAGAGCTACGCAACGAGGTTACCAAGTTGTGCTTAGTGCATTGAGATGTTCGGATGAAACACTGGACGTGACGACAGTATTCTTTTTAAGATGACGCTTTGAACACCAAAAAGTCGTCTCATTACGATTATGTCACGGTGTGAATCCTCAGTCATGCGCTGATTGTTTGCTACGGGAAGGATATGAGAGGATGTATGTCCTGCAGCTACTCTACACTCCTGTTGCTCTTTGAAGACGTTCAAACATTTATGTTTACTAGATTTATTTAGATATATCTTCCACCTTGCTTTAGCGAGCAGGATAGACTTTGCCCCGGATGAGGCGCGGGAAGCTAACGACAACCTTAAGAAACTCGACATGTGGTGAGATGAGAGTGAAGTCAGCTCATAACTTGACATAGGCTCTCCTTTTGTTTCGTGGTACATATACCAACACTCTCACCATAGAGAGAGTGGTAGAGTCATTTTTGTATTGGAAATCCACATGAGATACTTACATGATGCCATATATCCTTATAACATTGGTCTCGAGTGACATTCCATCCAATTCATCCAACGTGGACCAAGTTTTTTTGGTCAATACCTCATGTTTGATTTTTGTTTTTGATTAATTAGCAGTATTTGATTTAGTGTCTCAGGAGTGCTCATTATGTTCCATGTAAGATAGGCCTCAAGGGAGATAGGTCTCAAGGCAGTCGACATTCGGCTCACTTTCGATTTCAACATGCCTTGACAGTACTTGAAGGAGCAGCGATTGCCACCACAAACCTTCATACCGTTGCAGTCTGTTCGAGTGAAGCCCGTCCAAGAGAAGCTAAGGACGCTTGGGGGAACGGCAAAGTTGGTCTTTGACGTCATTACATATCCATTCATTAAGTTGACAGTTACAGATAATTCTGAATTTTTTCTTGTTTAATAAATTATCGACTTCAGCTTCTTGTTTATCCGGGTATCTTAGTATAGTATCTTCCTTGACTATCTTACTATTGACCCAGCCTTGGAAAAGGCCCTGGTTTATGCCGTCGGTAACACATTGGTGTGTGATGGGCTCGACGAGGCGAAAGCATTAAGTTGGGGTCACGAGAGACATAAGAGTAAGCGATTTACTTCTTTTAAGCTACGTTGTGACCTTTACACATTAGTCGCCCATCGTAGAGTCCCTTATCTTTCATCGAGCTGCTACCACTTACCCATGTATAAGGTTTATATCCACATTTCTCTACATGCGTGGGCAATTCACGCTTAAAACAGGCCTTGCCTAGGTTTGACTGACTCAGCTTAATATGCATGTACTGTTCAGTGGTAACTCTCGATGGTATTCTTCTGGCTAAATCGGGTACAATGACTGGTGGTGTAAGTGGAGGAATGGAAGCTCGATCACAAAAGTGGGATGCTCGAGCTGTTGAAAGTGAGCTACCTTTTCACTCTATACTCAAGTAAAGGATGTCATACATGAGTTGCAGATTTCGTGTGAGCGTAAGTACATGGCAGTTCTTGGACTTACGTGGGTAGGTTTTGCTACACAATTTCATGGAAATAGCTAGGAATGTACGAAACGCACTCAAGTTTCTGTTATCTACTAATACAGATTGTTTTGCCTGATGAAAACCTCCAAGCTTCTCTTTGATCAAAGTTTGAAGCGTGTTTGGGTTGTTTGTATTCATGAACTGAAAACTTCTGTGTGCAGGTCTCAAGAAGAAGAAAGAAACGTACGAGGCAGAGATGGCAGAGCTGGGTTCTATCAGAGAAATGCAAAGCAAAGAGGCAGATATTGCAGGGCGGATTTCCGGTTGTGAAAGGAAAATGCACTACAGTGACATTGAGAAGGTGAAGAGAGCTTAATACTGGTCGGGAGTTATGCCTCCTTCATAATTCTTACAAATTTCCTTTCCACAATCATGTGAATCTTCATCTGTCTCTGAGTGCGACGAGAAGCTCCCCGTGGTGGTTTTAAAAACCAGGTTTTAAAAGGCAGTTGACCTTCGCTTTTCCAGATCCCTCACAACTACAAAATAATTATTATATTATACGTCTATTGCATATTATCTACAAGTAGGAACAACGTATGTTATATACCAGTATCGTTTACAATGACAAGTTTTTGCCTTGCTCGCAGAAAGGGCTTGACCGGAAACTTAAAATGCTAGCAGAAGAGCGCGTTACAATGGAAAGGCAGATAAACCAACTTACTCCCGATATTGAGCAGGTATGGTTCACAACAACTTGTAACGTTCTACAATTTTAATTATCAACGTTGCTCTGGTCAATACGTGTTGTCTGATCGTAGTCGAATACACTCATGTTGTCTTACTTACGATTTGAATTCATCTGGACTATGGAAGTGCTTTATTGGATATATTGTTCAAGATAGCAGAACCGACCTTACAGTAATTATTTCCAAGTGGGAGTGACATGCCAAGAATTAGGACCTGTCTGCTCTTCTGAAACTGTTCTCTCGACGCCTATGCGCACACAATAGAACAGATCACTCACTAACATAAAGGGAGGGGACTGCTTGATGCGATCATTGTTCGTGTTCACTCAAGTGACACTCTTTTTCCTCCGTAGAGTCGGTTCCCTAGATCGAGTTACTTTGTTATCTGGATTCATGGACTTACTTCAAAGCATCTAATTCACGAACTAGTTGCCGTTCTGCCCTGTATTATGGTCGGGGACATTAAACAATTTCCTCACCTTGCCTTCAAGTTCTTGCTTCTTTTTCTTCTTATTTCCTGTCGAAGCACTGTTCTATCTTGTGGCCTTTCCTCCCACAATGGAAGCAGGATCCAGTCCTCTTCCTGCAAAGTTCAATTGTGTGGCCACGCTTATTGCAGTATACACAGAAGTACACCTCCTGTAGAGCAGGATTCTTGCCTGCTCTGACGTTTGGCTGCGTCTTGACTGGATTTGTAGAAGAACTTCCATGACCTGAATGTTTCTTAGCCTCCTCTTCAAGCAGCATATCACAAAGTTCCTTGAATTCTGGAAGATTGTCCTTGTGTCGAGCAAGTACATTGGAAACAAAAGGTCGATAACTGTTGTTGAGACTATTCATGGTTGTCAACACGACTTCTTTTTCACTGTGATCAACATTCAATTGAGCCAGCTTCAAAAATAGGTCTTCAATTTGGTTCAGATGGTCACCTAAATCACCACCCTCCGGCAACTTGGCTTTATAGAGTTGCTCCTTCAGTTTGATCGTTGTCAATTCAGCTGAAGAATGACATTTGTCTTCCAGCCTATTCCAAGCCTCAGTACCACTCCTACATTGCGAAATCTCGCAAACCAATTTGTCATTGATAGATGCCGCAATGAGAGTCAAGGCTCTGTTTTGCTTCTCGTCGTGGTCTTTCTGTGCTGCTGCACCTTCAGTGGGTCGTTCCTCGTCTCCACAGACGACGTACCACAGATTCTCTTTCATTAAACGATTCATCGTTTTGGCCCTCCACAAGCTGTAATTGTTGGGGCCTGACAGTTTTCCAACGTAGCCCTGTGAAGACATGGTTGATGCCGTCACGTCCACTTTTATGGGGCAAAGTATCCAAGTATGGATTTCAAAGAAAGATCAACAGTACGTGGTGTCTTGAAGTCGGACCTGCTCTGAAACTGCCCTGAAAAAAGTTAGCTGCAGAAAAATGGTAGCAGCAGCTTTCTCTCATACGCCAAAATCCTTCTCACTTAAGAGCAGAATCACCTGTAAGAGACGTCGACCGACTGTGACCAAGAACTTCCCCACCTGAAGAGCGTCCCTTCCTACGGTATTTATGGTCATCAGGTAGGAACTGCAGAGTTTTTGGTTTCCGCCTGTGTGCACTTAATGATCACTCCTCTTGATATGCCAGAAACCATACGCAACCAACTCCTGGCCTTCGTCTCCTACAAGTACGTGTCTGTAATTACAAGAACACCCTAGCTTCTCAAACGACGGGGAGTCTTGAGTTGCAAATGACTGTAACGCATCAGTAGAGCTCGTTTAGCAGAGAGTGCTTTATGTACAGATTCACTCGATCAGTCGTCAGATCCCTGACATGTGTCATGTAGCAGAACATGTTCCCATAATATTCCTTGTCTGACATGAAGTGAATTTTATTATGTGAAAACTAGTCTCTTGATGCTTCACTTCGCTCCACACATAATAGATGGAAGCTAAAAGAACGATAGAGTGATGGAATTGGAGGGGGTTTCTGAGCCACGTTTGCTAGAACGCATTGATATGTAGGAGCACAGTACTACACGCACTAGCTGCAAGTCACTCGAGGGCGTTCTATTGGAAGATATAAAAGGAGAACGATGATCATCTCGACTTAGTAGTGATTCATAGCTGAGTGAACAGGGATCTCTGACAGTGGTCAGTGTAGTACATATTTCAGTATCGTTTACATTATAATGTAAGACGTTGGTTTGTTCTAACCTCTGCAGCTGCGGATGGTCATCGCTGATAGAAGGAAGACGATAGCGAAGCTAGAGACTCGCATGAACGAGATTGTCGACCGTATATACAAAGACTTCAGTGAATCTGTTGGAGTTGCAAATATTCGCGAGTACGAAGAGAATCAGCTGCGAGCCGCACAGGAGTTAGCTGAACGACGCATGAGCCTCAACAGTCAAATAGCCAAGATACGAAATCAGTTACGATTCGATCCTCTTCCTGTGCCTCCCTTCTGTTCATATAACCGTATGAATTGCTGGTATTTAGGCTGTCGTTTCGTAACTTATTTGTTAACTACGTTTAGCAATCCACAGGAATGATGCAGTTTTGATATTGGACTTAAAGCAAGCTATGTTACTGCAGATTGCAGTACGAGCACAGACGTGATACGGAGGCGCCGTTGAAGAAGTTGTCAGACACGCTGGTGGTACTACGTAACGAACTTGTTAGAGTCGAAACTGTGGAATCAGAATTCAAGGCAGCAACTGATGAGACTGCTTCACAACTCGAAGAGCTAAAAAAAGAGCAACAAGGTGCGTCGTCAATTATAGGATTCTTTTTCCGTTGTGTCAAGCTATCGGTCTAAAAATGAGAACGACAAGTTGGCCTGTCTTGCTTGAGCGTTTTGGAGTATTATAATGCACTCATACCCTTGGCTATGATCACTTCGTTTTTCTAATTTTTGTTGGTTGAAGTAACATTTTACGCTGTCCTCATTTGCACTCCATGTTTTCACCTTTCGATCTCCTACAGTGCAGTACGTTAATTATTTGCATGTACTTCGTAAGCACTTGATTTTCTTCCTATGCTTACGTAGCTCTCTTAAGTATTGCAGAGTACAAGGTTAAAGCAGATGAAATAGAAGAGCAAATTCAGGAGCTCAAGAAGCAAGGTAGCAACGACACAACCAATTTGGGAAAGCTGAAGCGCCAAATGACGGCAAAGGTGAATAAACGTCTGTGTACCCTAAGATATACGTTTTCGAAACAATTACTTCTTTCTCAGGAGCGCTCGTTACAAACTGCTCAGTCACTTAAAGTGGTCCGTTGTGGACATGAAGTCCGTTTACTCTTCCATAGCTCTTGCCTCATAGTTTGACGGTATTTCCCCTTCATTGGTGGGTATGGTTTCATGACGCGTGTATTGTGATATTGCAACCAGCAATTTTCCCCTCAGAGAGGTTCACGGGTTGTCTTTTTTATATCGACAACAGCATTCTCAACCTTTGCCTCGTTGCTGTATGTAAATGACTTATTTATGTATTTCCTTGTGATGCGGTTATCCTGATTCTGATACATGCGTGGGCGATCCCGGACGTTGTTGGCATTCAGGAAACTCAAATAGAGCAGTTTAATTCCAGGAAGCAAGAAATACTGGAGAATTGTGAGCTTGATCAAATTAGACTTCCTATCGCCCAAGATTTAGATCCCATGGATATCGATTCTGCTCAGCCCATTCTTTCCTTCGACTACTCACAGCTTAGTCGCTCACATCAACAGGTATGTCCGTGTTTAACATGCAACACCACTTCAGAATTTTCGCATGTATCCTTTTTTCCGATTACTCTGATACACTCCTAATACAAGAAGTTTACAACAGGAAAATTATCACACTAGTGGCTTAAAGAACATGTGATCGTAGATCACCCGTGAGACACTCCTCGCTTATATTTTGCCACATAAGCAGAACACCAATTCGAATCACTAAGAAGGAAATCGAATATCCATATCTGTTTCAGGAATTGAGACCAGCTGAAAAAGAGAAACTGGAGCAAGAGTTCAAGAGCAAGCTAGAGTCCATCTCAGCTGAAATCGAGAGGACAGCTCCAAACCTTAAGGCTTTGGATCAGTATGAAAGTCTACGGGAAAGAGAGAGAGAATCAATTGAGGAGTTTGAAGCAGCAAGGCGTGAGGCAAAAGATATTACGGACAAGTATAACGGGGTGAAGCATAAAAGGTGATTCCGTGATCCTTCTCAGTATTGAGTAGGAAAGGGAGGGTCATAGAAGTAGAGTTGATTTGATTGGAAGTCATTGGGATCAATTGTAATAACTCTGTTTTCGAGGTCCAGCTTAGTTCTGCTTCTTCAAAGAAAGTAAAGTGATCGAAATCAAGTTCTCTGGACATAGATGGATCTTCAGTCAATTCACCAAAAGGAAGAGGTTCACAGGTTTAATCGTCAATTGGCTTTCAATACTAGGAGCGAATACAGTAGTTCGAGTCGAACTGAGAATCCTTAGCGGGGCTGAGCATTTTACGTTTCTCAGTTTTGATGGATGGAAACCATGAAATTACTGTTTTGATAGATGTATGCTCTTATTGGTGGCAGGTCGATTATAAATGGTTGTATGGAACTAAGTTAAAGCTTGAGGAGCAGAAGCAGAAAACTTACTGTTGTGACCCTGGGACTGCAGGCATGAGAAATTTATGGATGCTTTCAACTACATATCAACGAATATAAACAAGATTTACAAACAGCTGACGCAGAGCAACACACATCCGCTTGGAGGAACAGCATATTTGAGTCTAGAGAACGAAGATGAACCCTTCTTGCATGGCATAAAGTATACTGCCATGCCACCCACTAAAAGGTTTCGTGATATGGAGCAACTTTCTGGAGGTGAAAAAACTGTGGCAGCTTTAGCGCTCCTCTTCGCCATTCACAGGTGCAAAATCGACGGTCTATTTTGAAATTAACAATCTGATGTTAAATGTGATCTCGCAAATATGTATTCTGGGTTTTCCAAATGTACATTTCAACACAAATGCATACGTTGTCAAGTGACCAGATGTGAGATCAGAAGAATATATAATGAAGTTTGTTTCACAACTTGACACCGCACCTGAACTCGTGTATCCGTTTTGTGCAGCTACCGTCCATCGCCCTTCTTCGTGCTGGACGAAGTCGATGCCGCTCTGGACAATTTGAATGTAGCAAAAGTAGCCGCCTACATTCGGTCTAAATCTAGAGACGACGTAAAAGGAAGTGACAGTTCGGGAAAAGGCATGGGATTCCAGAGCGTGGTGATTTCCCTGAAGGATACGTTCTATGACAAAGCCGATGCCTTAGTTGGAGTATATCGAGACTCGGATCGCAGGTTCGTTCTTACGACTTGCATTCGTCAATGATTACCTTGAATCTAATTGTAACCTTTTGAAACGTTTTGCAAACGTCATCGGCACAATTCACCATATTGTCACTAATTCGCTGATGGGTGTCGCGGTGCAGTTGTTCGAGGACCCTCACTTGGGATTTGGAAAAATTTGGCGGCTGATTTATGAGAATGCAATTTCATGGCTGTTCAGTAATTACCCACAATTCTTAAACTTAGTTGTATGTACACAGCTGTTCGTCACCGATCTTCCAAAATATGTGGAACCAGCTTATTCTAGGGACAGTGGGTATTATAGAAATCTATTGTACATTTGAATCTCCCCTTCTGTATACAGTGCAATTGTGCAGTCGTGCTCTCGTTATTTCAAGCTCTGTACATCATTACTGCATTTCAAAAGCTTGATTTTGAGGAGATGTTTATATGTTGAGCAGATGTTCTTGCTGTACAGCAAGCTTCTTTTGTCTGGTACATTCTTCTTTATCATGAATCTGGACACTTTAGTGTCCTAGATAAATTGAAATGGCTGCGACGCGACTTCTCATGCATTTCGTCTTCCATCCGTGTAACGAAGGCAGTCTAGGGACTCATCGAAAGAGGTTTTGACCGATTCCTTACCCAAAGGCCAGAAAGCTCCACTGAGCACTTCGTCGCTGTTTCACTGAATGTGGATCTATCTGGCCCTTCGGTTTTGTCTTTAAGAACGACTGTATCGTCCTCTCAAGTTGGGATACCCCAGCTTTGTTTCACCTTGAGAGTCTATGCAATGCAAGACGGCTCGATGGTGGATTAGAGTTTGAGTACATTGTTTATTAAATTGAGAATGTGATGGAGCCGATCAATGGAGTGTCAGTGTTTACGGTTCAAACTCGTTAACTGTCAATATTAGGAATGACCAAGTTATGGTATCTTGCAGGAGAGCACAACCATTGGTAGTTCGAGATCATGATGCCTGTGAAGAATACTTGCCTATATGGGGTGAAGGTTATTAAGGAATTGGTATCTGATCACATGTGATCAGATATAAGAAAAGATGTATCACAAAGTTAGAAAGATGATGGAAACAAAGATATAGAAGAGTTTCTTTTGAAAATAATTCACTGAGTAAATATTGGAAGTTCACCATCGGAAGTAAAAACTACAGGGAAAATAACTGAAAATTTTAACCAATTCCAGGTTTCGCATGAGTTGCGTGGAAGCCAAATTAGGTGAGTTCAAATTTATCACGTGAACAACTATTTCTCAGTTAGTTTAAAGACCACTATTACACATACATGTATTCTACAACAAAGAAGCACTAACTGTGAAATGTTCAAGAAGTGGAAACATCAGATCGGTACAATGCAAGGTAACATAGGTTAAGTTTTTGAGCATATTTACATTGATTATAAAACTGATGGATATATTATTTTAACCTCTACAATGAAGTAAATTAACAAAAGATAATAGAGCATATGTACACTGATTATAAAAGTGATGGATTTATCATTTTAAGCTCTGCAATGAACGAAATTACCAAAAGGTAATATTATGATGGGTGTATTTACCAGAATATGAAATATATCTCAAATATCAAACAACTTATGAACGAAATTACCAAAAGGTAATATTATGATGGGTGTATTTACCAGAATATGAAATATATCTCAAATATCAAACAACTTATGAACCACAGAATCATTTTATGTAGCATTACGTAACTATCTCTGAAGGGTTCCGGAGACAAGATGTCTAATAACACAGAGAGAAAGTTATATTTCACATCGTATAATACAACAATGTCCTCCACAAATGTGTAATTAATCTTACCATTTATAAATACTATAACTTCAAAGCTAGCGAAACAAAGAGTTGAACTTTGTGTTTAACCCTATAATAGAAATACTAAGTCAAGATTTATTAAAAGTGATATTTTTTTTATTAAATTTCACATTTGCTTTGCTTAAAATTGGATCTATTTCAGGATTAAATTTTCTCGTATAATGATTATTTGGATTTAATTGAGGGTTTAGAAAATAAATCTTTTAAAATTTGCACTACTTTGTAAAATTTACACACTGCTTGCAAAGTGTTTGGTATCGATACATATTTTAACATGAAATGGAATTGATATCAAACTCAAAGGCTATGAAATTGTTCAAATTGTAAGTCAACAATAAGATTGCTAACATGCGAAGTGTTTGGTATCGATACATATCTTAACATGAAATGGAATTGATATCAAATTCAAAGGCTATGAAATAGTTCAAATTGTAAGTCAACAATAAGATTGCTAAATATATTTTCACCATCAAAATCTGTTGCAATTTTGATTGCCTATTGATTACACACATGCGAATCTATTGTTTAGATAAAATGCTACAATCATAATACAATATTGCAATCATTCAAATAACACTAAAGTGATTAGTAATACCTATCATATGGTTGGCAATTTTGTCCAAATCATGTTTTTTTCGTTTCATTACAACTCATATTGACGGTGTTGTGCAAGTCGTTTGTGTGAACATTCTTGTTCTACACTAATTGTTCAATGCATCAAGGAATACCGTTGTTAGATCTGCAAAGTTGAATGTGTGTTTACAATGTGTTAATGATTACTGATGTCGTTTTAAGATCATCATACTACAATAAACTACATGGAATTGATGAACATGCTATTGAATGTATTTTGTTCAATTTGGATTAACAAAGTCAAATCTATAGGCTTTTATAATGGAAACAAGATATTAGAGCAAATTGGAGTACTTGTCACACTTTTGATAACGATGTGTTGAAACAAAATTTTCCACCTTTGATGTCATTTTCACCAATTAGATTTTTTCGTCAAACAAGAAATCAATGACGTTGAAGTTTGTTCAATTTACAAGACAATTCATGCATTTTCATTTCACTTGCGAACGCAAATCAATCCGATCAACAACATGAGAGTATCAAAATTTCTCCAAAATCCGTTGCGTTAGATCTCATTAGATAGTTTACTCAAATGAATTTTATAAAATCGTAAGCAAATTGTCAACACATTGAGTAAAAACTCTCCATGCAAGCGCCGTCCAATAAGTGATAATTCGTCATTGTGTCACTTAATAATTTTTCTACAACCATTCAAATCATATTCAAGACACTGCAGTCGCGCTACATGATCAATTTGCAATATCAAATTGAATTGAAGAAATTGATGGCAAATATATACGGAAAAATTGGATTTTGGTTGGATGTTTCATCAATGATGTCAAAGATTAAAATTCGGAATCTATGTTGTTCAACATTGTACAACATATATTGTTTGAATCGATTCGTGATCATATTCATGATCATGATTCATGGATGGTGGATTTGTTTTAGAAAATGTAAAACAATATCAAGAATAACATTATTAAGAAAATTGGATATTTTGTTTCATCAAGTGTGATCCAAAAATTCATGATTAAAGCGGAACGCGACTCAAATTACAGTGCGTATGAACTTAAAACAACGCCAATCATGCTTGCCAAAGTTTTTAAATTTTTGACATCAGTGACGATTAGATTGATTTTGAACGCACGTCGAGCAACACTAATCACCATAGTATATCAATCAAATTAAAGAAAAACACATGGAGTTGCCGAACACATTCAAAAATTAGCTTGACGTGAACACTACAATAACAAGAATTTCTTTTGAGATGCTTGAAAATCAGTCAAATTTGAGTATGTTTGAAATGTTGAATAATTTCAATCAAGGTTTGACGACAATCTTTTTGAACACATTCAAAAACAACTATTCCGTCATGAAATGAAAAAAAGAAAATTGCCTAATAAATTTGCACAACCTGTATCTTGCCAACATCTTGCACACGCAACATTATGATGTTTTAAAATTATTATTTTGATGATTACAATACAAAGGTCAATTTTTAGAATTTGGGGTGCCACAATAAACAAAAAAGTGTAAAAAATGGCAAAATGCCATTTTTAATGAGGTTTGACTTAATTACTAACACAACATTTGTTGTTTGTTCATTAACATGGAAAATCATTATTCAACAAAGTCATGTGTAATATTTATGATCAAATTTTGCTACCACAACTTGATCTTCTCACGCTAATATAGATTTGTTCTCATTTTGAACACATATTGACGCTTTCACCAAGTAAAATTTCCAACTTCATGCATCAAATAATACTTTCCATCTAAAATGACATAGTAAGTAGGTATATATTGTACTTCAAATGTACATACAATAAAATAAAACGCTTTGAAACTAGATTTACTTCACAACTATAGTTGAACAATGAAGATGTGAACCAAGTTCGAGTTGAAATCTCACGGCTTAAATAAAACAACTGGTGTGAGTAAAAATTTGATAATATATGTTGAAGTCAAAATTCAAGTTTTGAAATATTTATTTGATCAAGAGTGGTGTGAGTAAAAATGTGATAATATATGTTGAAGTCAAATTTCAAGTTTTGAAATATTTATTTGATCAAGAGTGAAAGTGAAAACTCATTATACAAAGAATCTGCAAAATCACGATTGTTTTTCTAAAACAAAAGTATGTTAATACAAACCATAGTTTCATATCTTGTGAATCATTTGGTATATAATAATAATTTGGGTAATTTAGATTTAGAAGAATGCTGTAACGTTAAGCTTTGATTCGATTTCTCATTCCTTGTGTAGGATTATAATAGAATAAGTGATAATCAGAGAATTTTGTTGCATGTCATTAAGAAGTAAAGCACTTGCATAATTTCGTTTTAAATATATCAAATCTATATAAAGTTAAGGAGTGTAAGTACCATCAAATTATACCTAAATGGATGGAAGTGATAAAATGTTATAATACACTAAATGAATATTGAAGGTATAATCATATTCTGAAATATCTCTTGAAACTTGACTTTTGCATGAGCTTTATTGTCTTCATACAAGCTCATATATTAATGTATCCACTTAACATTTCATACAGCGTTCTATATTCATTGTTAAATCTGTGTAGAAGAGCTAACATAGTGTATTGGAGTCTTAGGAGATTTTTATTCAAGAGCTTTGTGTTTCTGATAGTAAGAAGATTAGCTAGAAGCGAGTGGAGATCTTTCTACAAAGAAACCAAACTCCATAAGCTATTCTTATTGCGTAAACATGTTCTCTACCTCTAGAAGCTAAAGCTCTATACTTGATCATCATTTACATGAGAAGTATGAGATCTCTTGATGCTTCTGGACTTTCTCTTCAAGCTTTACATGGTATGATTAGAGAATGTGGTAACTTGTTCTTTGAGGTGAAATATTGCAGAATGTGATTTGGATTTGTAACCTATAGCACTTCGCGAGCGTCTAAAGAAATAATTTTCAACATTATTTGGAGCAGATCAAACATCAAATGCAAATTTATCAATTTCATGTGAATTCTATGCTTGTTTAATGTGAATTAATTCAAATTATTGTTAAGCCAAGAATTGGATCTCATAACCTTGAAATTAAACAAAGACGTTGGTTTAATATTAATATAAATGATGTATTTGTAAAATATGTGACAATGTATATATTGAATATGAAAATTATGGTAAGAATAGATTAGACTTCCTCGTAAAATAGATCTGGAGAATTTTTATTAGTATGCTATATTAGAGACATCATTACATATCTTTCTATTGCTCTGAGCATTACCTAGTGATTGATGTTTAGGGTTTTTCCCTTTGTATGTGATTTTTCGCTACTACTGTGCTTTTCATACTTATGATACACTTAACGATAAGCAGGAGAGACATTTTGTGTACCAAAGTAGGCATGCAACACGGAGGAGTCACTTCTAAGAGATTCCTTCGTATCTTCTGCGTTAAGCTTTTGCCATCCAGAGCCCATTTGTTAAAAGGTTAAATTAAAATTTCTTTTTGCATGAAGATCCCCACACATGTGCTGACGAAAAACACATCGAACGTATCGAAGGCCAAAGACCAAAGGTCCACGGAAACCGAGGCTATCAACGGACCTTTGGTCTACGTCGACGACGAGAAGAATTAAGTAGCAGGATGAACGGACATCTGGGGGAGTTGAAGCGCACCTCTAAATCTGGAGGAGAGCTGGCCTGCCTCTAAGATGGAGGAGCGAGGGAGGCAACGAGGGAGGGAACGAAGGAAGAGCACCAGCTCTGTGGCCAAACTTGACGGTAATGGACTGATTTCAGAGGCACCGCCATTTAAGCGCCGTTCCCGCTGTGGAGGCTGGCGCTTAGAGGCGGCGGCACCAGCGTGGCCCAAGGATTTGGGGGAAGGTCCAATTTGGCGATGGAGGGAACGATCGGGGGTCCCATCGTTTCCTTGAAAACCAGCGAACGAGAAATGTTCGAATTTTGTTCTCCGGTGTCGCCCTCGATTTGGAGTCCTCTGCTGCGCTCGACCGATCGACCTCGACCGATCTGGACGTGCGTGGGCCGATTGCACGAGAGTGGATTCTACTCGCCGCAGTCCAGGTACTCCTCCATTCATCTATTCCCATTCTCTCGAGCTGCATCTCTGCATCGCTGCTGATTTTTCTGGACCTCCATTCTCGTGGTAAGTGGGTCCATGACTGTCAGACAGACAGACGGAAACGAAGAGTTCTCGATTTGTTGCTGGATCGTGTGCACATGCCTTGCGTTGTGCGGTTGGGATACATGAATGAGTGAATGGATGAGTGAACGAATGAATGCTCTTTTCATTTTGAACTTGTGGGAGTGTGAAATGAGTTTTCGGAGGTTTTTTGGTGGGTCCGGAGGTGGCCTGGAATCGCGGGTGTGGATTGATCAATTCGCGATCGTGCAGTCGAGGAGTGCGATGTGTTGCGAGTTTGGAAGCGTTTTTTTTAGAATTTTTTTCTGTTGCTAGGTTTGTGGAGTTGTCGAGATTTGGGAGAAGGTTAGAGGGGAGCGAGACGGATTCACAGGCGGAGGTTAGAGAACATTAGCGGCCCTTGGAGTGGGCTGCTGCTGCATCGATAGGTCTGATCCGAAACGGAGAGGAGGAAGAAGAAGCAGAAGAAGAATCAAGAGGAGGAGGAGAAGTAGACGAGAGAATCATGGCTGGTAGATATGGAGACAGTCTGCTCATTCTGGGGATATCGTTCGCATCTGCATGGGTGTGCGAGGGAATCTCATGGCTGCTCATCTACCGAACCACTTCGTACAAAAGTCTCCGATCGACCATCGACCGAACCAGTAAGAAATTGGAGAGCATGAAAAGCAACACGCCGACCGTCGCAGCTACCAAAAAGTCCAAGGCGAAGAAGATGGATCGCTTCGAGACGAGCTTGAAGGAGTCTTCTCGAGATCTGTCCTTCTCCAAGTTCAAGTCCGGAGCGGTCGTGGCTATGGTGCTCGTCGTCGTCTTCGGACTTCTCTCTTCTCTGTTCGAGGGCAAACCCGTGGCCAAGCTCCCCTTCGTGCCTCTCAATCTCGTCCAGGCCCTCTCGCACAGGGGAATTCCCGGTGACGACCCCACCGATTGCTCCATGGTCTTCCTCTACACCTTGTGCTCTCTCAGCATTCGCTCCAATCTCCAGAAGTTTTTAGGGTTTGCACCTCCCCGCGGAGCTGCCAATGCGGGTATGTTCCCCATGCCGGACACCAAAGCCAAGTAGTTGTTCATGTCGGGAAGCATGTGAAGCATTCATCCTTCGGCAGGTGGAAGGGAGCCAGCCAGCCACACATTTGTCTGTTATCAATCACAGAGCAGAAGAGGAGATCTGGTACCAGGGTCTAGTTTTGGGCTCTTGGCCGGATGATGTAAGTGCGGCTTGTAATTCTAGCACGGGGCATATTGAGATGTCTCGTGTAAACTCCATCAGCTTAAGATGGTTTAGGTTGATAGGTAGATTCTTCCTGCCCTAGCCCCAGACGACGTCACTACTTGTTTCGATCTGATGTTGGTGCGCTGAGCAGAGCATAGCTCTCACTTTTATTCTAAACCTGAAATTGTTAAGTTCATCTTGTGTCTCTCGTGGGTGGATTATCACTACACGGACTCGGAATCTCTTTTTTTCACATCATGAATTTTATCAACGCTCTTGGATGAGATTCCAGCCATTGCATCTAGCTGTCACGTCGGACGTATGCTGGTTGAGAACCTTGTCTCAAGCTTGGTGAGTGCAAATCTCGTCTTCGGCCGTGGTGTCCATCTGAAAGGTTTTCTCTCTGGCAAGCTCTTACCTTTGCTTGAGTTGAAGTCAAAGTGATCATTCCAGCCAGGGCCTACTTCTGTAGTTCACTTTTTTGAGTGTTCATTCTCGGTTATTTTGCTCTCGACATTTTTCCGTTTTCAGAAATGAAGGAACGTCCTAATTATGTTGAAACGTATATTTTATGGGGTCATGAAGAGAATAAGATGAGTGGCCACCCACTTAATTCATGAGCTACAGCTGTGTGGATACGGTCTGTCAATCGCCTTGATGTAGTAGAGTTGATCCTGAAGAAAAGAGTCCTCTCCTTGTTTGACGAAGATTGCAACAATCTGGGCGAATATCTCCAGCCCAGGAGGATGTGTGTTGTTTTGACACAAAGTCGTTGCCATATCTTACTTTTCAGTATGCAGGTTCTCTGTTCTCAATTTTGAAAAGAAGTTATCGAAGATTTTGCATTGAATTCTCCCCTTGCAAGCTTCACGCCATCTTTTGTTCATGGTAGCAGGGTTCATACACGAGCTTCTTGGAAGGATAATTTGTGACATTTGCAGGTGAGAGCTGAAGCTCAGGATTCTAGTGCTTACCTGTGAAGATGATGTTGTTTTCTCGAATCTCAGACAGTTCAAGATTCCGACAGGGCGCTGCCTCTGGATGTTGCCCCCGGCAGAAGCCATGAGAATGTCGCTCGGTGCTTCAGCAGGAGAAGATGCAACAAGCTCACTTTCAAATCTCAGTCGACTTGGTAGGCTAATAATTGTTTTGTCCTTTGTACTTAGTATCTGGAAACCTCAGCCAGGCAAAGAGAGCCACATCTGTTGTCCTGCAATTGGCCTTTGAATTATGGCAGGGAACGCGAATAGAACCAACGATAGACCATGAGAATATTAATCTGTGACTTAGGTATCGAGAGGCTCAGTCCAGTAAACACGAGCTTATTAGCATCACGTTCCTTCTAGAGGTTCTTTCAATGTCAGAAACCTTTCTCTCGTATCTGCAAATCTCGAGCATACTTGGCACAGGCTATTGTCACGTTGATCAATGAATTTCAAACGGAATTACTGACAAGATGCGCATAGCTTGCAATGTCCCTAACTGCCTCTTACTCAGGAAAATGCTGTTCTTTGTATTCCCAGCTTGGGAATCTACTGATCGCTCCAGCAGATTGCACATTATTGCAAGATAGGAGTGTTTTCCTAGTGTTTATGCCCTCAGTGTTTCCTCATTATGACTATCGTCTTTTCGCAGGCTCGCAAGGCCCCGCAAGTTCTAGCTGTAACCGTGTGCTTGGCATGGTGTACAACAGGTCTGGGCAACAGCTACTTTTCTGTCGTGTGTCGACCCATACACCTCGTTAACCAATAACGAAGCAGACTGTTTAATTCGACGCTCGTCGAGTAGATCTTGTCCAGGTCACCTGTTCAATCTCTCACACCAGTTCTGTCTCAGATCTGATGTGAACCACACTTAACAATTATTTTCAGTGTCCTTCACACTTTGAGTTGTCCTTGGTAATTTTGACATGTGACGTTTTTATGACCAAGTGACTGCCTCTTTTCTGCTTCGTTTTCTCGGATGCAGCTCGTACTTCTTTTCTGTCATATTATGTCAGTTCATTCAGCACAATAATATGCCATGCCATGCCATGCTCTGCCTGAAGGTAGTGCAAGTCAGTCTTGCCATGTTTCTTTGACCAATTTCTTGCCTTGCTTATGGATTGGTTGTCTTGCTATGCTTTGTATGCTTGCTTATGGATTGGTTCTCTTGCTATGATTTGTATGTTCTCTGTCATGCTCTGCCATGTGTATGGCGTGTCTAGTCTAGCCAACTGATGCGGCGGTTGAACATGTACCAATTATTCCATTCCAACTCTGCAACACGAACACAAATCAATAAACCTCGAACTCTTTTCTGGACAGCCCAAATCAGTGAAGTCATTAGCACTGGTGACAAAATTGGTCTTGAGGGCGGCAGTCACTAGAAAGAGTAAGAGCTTGCGGTATCTGGAGCTCAATGTTGAGACCGATTCGATTGCGAAAGATTAATCGGATTATAATTGGAGAGATTTGCTCGATGGGACCCCTTCGGAAAATAATTTGCTTGAAGGGACCATTCAAGTTTTGAACATATCATAAATAATATTCTGTTGCAGATTATAAACCATGGTGAGATAATATATCACTCTTTGCAATAGCTCCAAAAATTTTCAAAAAAATATTCCCCATCATTTCTATACATAAATATGTCATCGTGTATAAAGTCTACTTGGGCTTTTCAATTTCTAAAATTTGTTAATCTTAGATTTGTGTTTAAAAAATAAATTCACATAAATTATAAAAAGAGAGTTATATGTCTTCCACATGGGAGTTTGATTTATCATACATAGTAAAATTTTCCATTCAAACGAAATATATTCAATTAAATTTAAACAATTTTTTTTTAGTTTTTATGTAAGTAAGAATCATATATTACTCATTTTCATTTAATTTCAAATAATTTTTTTTATATTTTTATATTATTATGATCATTTTTATAAGAATAAATTATTTTAAGAAATAATTAAATATAAATAAGGTTTGAATTTGAAAATTAAACCTAGATGATTGAAGATTTTTTTAAATGAATTAAAAATATACTTTATTTTTTTTATATATAAATATAATAATTTAAATTATATTCTATTTATATAAATATAAGATAAATAAAGATTAGGTATTATGAATTGTTACGTGATTAAATATTTTTTTTGAAAATTTGAAAATCAATTTAAATGAAAGATAATTCTTGAAATAATTGCTTGCAAGATTTAAATTTATTTGAATAAAATGTCAAATTGAATTAGGAATTTAATCTTTAATATTTGCTTATTTTTATATATTTTTGAGATTATATATAATTTAAATTGAGATAACCAATTGATTGTCTTTATTAATAGAGACAATTGATGTATTCTAAATCTAAGAACCTTAGAGATTTCTATTCATACAACTGATTCGCTCTATTAGTATAGGATCAAAGATGATTTACAATAATACTAAATCTCCCATAAAATTAAGGGATTGTAAGACATTCCGCACTCACTATTATATGATACTTTAATAGTATTTAGTAGATATGAGATAGAGAGATCCCAAGGTAGGCTTGTTCATTGTTTCTATTTTTTTTTTTCAGTTTACTTCTAACAACACGTTTCGATCACAATAACGCCTTGAGATAATCAACCGATTGTCTCTATTAATGAAAACAATAATTTTACTCTAATCCTAAGAACTTTGGAGAGTTCTATTGATACAATCAACTGCCTCTATTAATATACAATCAAAGAAGTTATACAATAACTCTAAAACTCTCATATAAATAAAGTAATGTAAGACATCCCAAACTCATTATTATATGATACTTTGAGAGTATTCAGTAGATCTGAGACTGAGAGATACCTAGTCAGGCTTGTTCATTGTTTCATTTGTTTTGATGTTATTTTTTTCAATTTACTTATCACAAAAATTTAATTATATTAAATTTTTATAAATTTAATATTAATTTTTTAAACAAATTTTAAACTAAATACAAATAAAAACTATTTTGGAATAATTTTTATTCATAATTAAATCAGAAATTTTAAATATAAGTCATTTAAAAAAATTTATATTATTTTAGTTTATTATTTTACTAGTATTTGTCAAGAAGAGACTAAAACCAATAGTTTTTAACCTTACTAGTTACAATATATTCAGAAGTCATGTACCTATAGTGTTTTGAATTGGGTAATTATTACAAGGCGGTTGTATTTCTAGAACTTGTAATTTTTACTTATAGCATAAAATTTAAAGTTGAGTTCAGTTATAGGTTTAACCTATAAAATTTTTAAAAATATACAAATATTACATTAGACATAAAAGTTAGAAAAATTTAATTTATTATGTATATCAATATTTTGATTTAAACTCTACCTAAATTTTAAAAAATTATTTAGTATATATATTATTAAAATATTATTTAATTTAATTTTAAATTTTAAATATTAATGAAATTAATAATTTAAATATTAATGATATCAATGAAATTTTAAATAAAATTTCATATTCTAATAAAACTTAAAATTTTACTTAGAATTTTCACAAAAATTTTAGAATTTTATTATTTATTTATATGTTAATATAATATAATATTTTATTTTAAATTAGGATTACTTACAAAATTATTTATAGAATTTTGAATATAGTGAACTAATTTTCCAAAATGAAAATGAAACTTTATATTTGAATTTAAAATCTACTTTTTTAATAAAATTTAAAATATATTTTTTCATTTTTATATGATTTTTTTTAATTATATATTAAAATCTTATCAATTTTAGTTAAATTCTATTATTTAATAAAATTATATAATAGAATTTAAATTTTATAAAAATCATTTTATATATATGACACGACATTATACTTTTTGTCAATTCAACATCTGCACATATGTCGGAAGAACATTAAACCATAAAAATACTCATTACCTTTCGGATGGGGAGTCAACAGTTTCCAATGACCATATCAAGGAATGTCAGAATAGAATCATCAACTTTAAATGAATATCACAAGTCCTTCTTTTGCTGATTATTCATTATACAAGCAGATTTTGTAATAATATTGAGTATTAGAAGTCCTTTGATAGCTCTGGAGCAACTTTGTTCTCCACACAGTCTGTTTAGAACCCAAGCCAGCTTTGACTTTTATTTGTTTTTTAGTCATTCCATCAGTATATACCTGTTTTGTTTGTATTGTATTTTATTTTTTAATTTTGAGAATGAGAGCTTTTTAATGTTTAACTTTGAATCACACTAACAAACACGCGAAATTGATATTAGATATGTCTATCTATTCATCACAAGTTTTCTAGATCTATACTCAAGTTACCTATTTCATATATACCCACAATGTTATACATGGCCATGTATTGCTTTATTCATCTGTCTCCCATCATACTCCCGAAGCGGCTTTATTCCAGCCATTTCGTCATCACACCAATGCCATGACATGAGCTAGTCCATCCAGGACGGAAATGACTTTCCAAGACCTTTTTTTATTTTTAGAAGTCGGGCATGTACCGGACTAACGACAGGTATCAACCTTTATTCACTGCCTCCACGGATTTTTGGACGGCTAGGCTAGAGTTGACTGCAGAAGAAATCCAGACTCGGGCATGAAACAAAATACGAAGACGGATGTGGCATGTCGTGGATATAGGGAGCTCGTTAGATTCTTAGCAACAAACCTCGATCACTTAGATGCAGGCGGTTGTACACTTCCAGCCTGGAAAACACTGGAACAACACATCATGATGAAGCGTCAGGAGAATGAGTGAGCGATCCAGTCAGATGATCTTGTTACTGAAATTTATGGGAAACCAAAAGAAAAGCACATAGCAAAGTTTCAAAGTTCTCGTACCACTTTTTCCCAGCTCTGATTTCTGCAAAGTGGCGGGCAAGTGAGGGATGGTTTCACGGTGTGGTCATACTCGTCGATGTAGCAGGAGGAAGCAACGTACAGCGTAGTGCTGGTCAGGTCAGTGGAGAGGTGGGCGTCCTAGGCCTCAACGAATTTGACAAACGGCTCCGTTCCAATTACCAACCTTCGGTCAGCAGATGATGAGCCCGTAAAATGGAAGCTGGACTTTCTCGCATGCACGGTTCTAGCTCTTACTCCAGC